CTCTCCTCTCATCACACACACTTCTGTACCCTAGAACTGAAAAACGTTTTCATTTGATATGATGAAATCACTTCAAACGTCCATCCTGCATTTGACCACAGAGCAAACAAGTACGATTTAAAATGTAGATGTGTATCTAGGCCATGGTCTCGGGGCAGAACCCAATAAAATCAGGAGTTAACAATTTTAAAAAGCTAAATAAACCCTTAAATCCTGGAAAATTACACAGTCTCCCTTGGATCAAAGAGAAAATAAAAGTAAATCACAACCTAGAAATTAAAAAGAATATTTCATGCCAAAATGTGTAAGGTGCAGTCAAAACTATAATCAAGGGAAAATATATAACTAAATGCCTTTACTGTTAAAAAAGAAAGACTAAAACTGATGGAACCCTGTGCTAATATTAAGAAATTAGAAAAAGAACAAAAACAAAGAAAACAGTTGCAAACTAAATAAGTTCAAGTTCATGAAAAATGTTTTTAAAGGTGACAAGAAACTTTTAGAATGCAATAGAAAGGATCAATAAATACCAATGTTATTTCATAATGTCAATAAAATTGGATAACCCCTTGAGAAACCTATTTAGAGAAAGTGAGGGCAATGGTTTGTTATTTAATAAGTGGTATAGTATAACTACCCCTCAGATGCTCTGAAGAGTTTCTGTTAGCCCAGGCAAACTCTGTCATCTTAACTACTCTGACAGAGATTTATTTAGATTTCTGTTACCCACTATTATTACAGAATAAAACCCTAAACTGTCATTTGAGGTTCTCTGAAGTTCTTTCCCATCAGCTAACAATCTTTCCATGTACATAAACCCATTTTGCTACTTGTCAAAGTTTTCAAGTTACCTTTTTTTAAAAAAAAATTTGATTTTATAGAGAGGAAGGAAAGAAAGAAACGTCGATCGGGGATTGAGCCCACAGCCTGGGCATGAGCCCTGACCAGGAGTCGAACCAGCAACCTTTCGGTGCACGGGACAACACGCAACCAACTGAGCCACACCGGCCGGGGCTACTTGACAACTTCTTAATTCTCTCTTCTCAAATCTTCCCTGCTCCTCTGTTCACAATCCCTCATTTGTACTCTCTAACCTCACTGAGTTAGAGGACACATGCTGAGAGAGTGAGTTTCGAACCTCTCTGCCCCACTACTTGGAAAGGAAGGTACACTGACCAGCAGTTTCCTTCCTCCCAACCCAGTCCCAGGGCTGTGCGTGCAGATTAAGTGACTTCGAAATGGTACTTACTGGTCAGGAGGGACTAGCCATCTTTATTATTTCGAGATGTCAGTATATTCTCATTCCTGAAAATCATCAGAGAACATTTATAATATATATTTTGTGTTAATTAGCTGAAAACAAACCTAGACGGCTCGAAGCCGCCGACTCTCTGCCTCCACGCCGGCAATGCAATGGCAGCGACCTGGCAGCTCCGGCTTCAGGTGCGCTGTGGAGCTACAGAAGGTGGTCTCGCCCCTACGTCGTACAGACAGCGTAGCATAGTTCTTTTATATGTTGTCCTAGTGGCCCTCCTGGCATTCTTCACGGCACAGATTCTTGACCAAATTAGTTTTACGCCTTTTCAACTTAGTCTGATGGTTGAAAAAAGAACCAAAACCAGCCCTGGCCGGTTTGGCTCAGTGGTTAGAGCGTCGGCCTGCAGTCCGGAGAGACCCGGGTTCGGTTCCCGCTAAGGGCATGTACCTCGGTTGCAGTTTGTCCCCGGCCCTGGTTGGTCGTGCGGGTGGCAGCCACTCGATGTGTCCCTTTCACATCGATGTTTCTCTCTCTCTCTCTCTCTCTTCCTCTCTCTCCCTCCCACTCTATCTGTACAAAAAATGGAAAAATGTCCTCAGGTGAGGATTAAAAAAAAATTTAAAAAAAGAACCAAAACCAAAAACTCAGAAGAAGAACTAGTAGTCACATTTCATCCAGAATAGCAGGCTAGCCAAAAAAAAAGATATCCCAAGGTTCTCTGCATAGCTAAAAAGAAATAAGCCAAATTAAAAAAACAACAACAACATTTAATAGGTTTTTTTTTTTTTTACAATTTCAGTACAAATGATCACTTCAAATAAACATGATAGGGTTTTTATTAATTGCCAGTCAATAAATAATTTTGTGGCTTTCCTTCCTGATGAAATCACTTCGTTAAAAAGAGAAATGGTTTAATACATTATTTTGCTTATACTTATACACGTCAGGAGAATTTTATTAAGTGTCTTACACTTCAACAACGTTAAAATTTTTACGGGAATTGCTTAGGCAGATGTCCTAATTTCAGTCATTTGCTGGAACAAATTTTACACATAGGCAAGAAGTCGGAGACTACATTGTACAAGGGAACACGGACACGAGTCGCAGAGCCGTGGTGAATCGCGAAGGACATGCCTGAAACACGGCCCTGTAGCGAGCTGCAAGGTCTCACAGGAAAGTAATGAAACAAACTACAAGGTCGCAGTCAAAAGCCCTGTATGGGGACATCAAAGAAAAACCACAGCTACAAAACCTCAGCGTAAAATCCCCAGGATGGCAGCTGCTCCTCATCGAGTTGATTCAACCGACGGCCGCTCCCCTAGGAAATGTGCAACTACGGACCAGTGATTAAAAAAATAAGGCAATTCTCATTGTCTTTTCTTTTAAAGAGAAAGTTGGTGTGAGGACCTGACATAGCAACTAAAAATCCAGTCTATGTGTCCCCAAAATATCAAATAATATTTGTTCAACTCTTCGTGTTAAATCACTGGTCATTTTTCGTATGACCCGCCTCCCGAGGTCCACACAGTTCTGTGCACTACCTGCTGTCGGACTCTGAAGTGCTACTTGTGATGAGCACGTCTCTTACTTGCACGTCTGCTCTCCGCACCAGCTACTGGCTGTCTAGACCAAAGAAACCCGAGAATTAGGCCAACCCCAGCACCGCAGACAACGGTGGCGGTACTGACTTCCCCCGCCTTTCTGACTCCTTACGTGTATCTGCTGTCAAGTTCACCTCCCTTTGGTGGGAGGAAGGGTCCAGAGAAAAGAGTTTACATGAAGACAGCTTCGCTTCCATTTCCAACTGTCCCCTGAGCAGCAACGGGAATGCTTGCCAACCTGTCACTCCTCCAAACCTATCACCCATCTCGCTTGCCTTCTCCCTCCAGCGCTTTCAAAGATTATGTTGCTCATTTGCATTTGTTAGAGAGGTAAACATGATATCAAGTCCTTACTACAGAAGGTGTCCTAACACCTGGGGCCAGAAACACCCATCTTTTATGACCAATCAACTCAGGTGCTCTCTGTTTCTCTCAATGGGTCGGCAATACCTTTTTCTTTTATGTTTTCAGATGAAAAGAGACTGTGGTAGTTTTGTTTTTGTCCAGAGTGCCAGACTTAAACAATCTGCAGTGTACCTTGACAGTGGCAGTGAGGAATAATTCTGAAGACCCGGAGGAGGTCTGATCAATAAAAAGAGAGTGGTATTCCCCAGGCAAGACCATCACTGCCATCCTAACCACTAGCATCTAGAAGGAATTCTCCAGTCACATCAGGGATAACACAGACACAGCGGTGTGATTCCATGACCTGAAAGACTCCTCCATATGGCATGTGACACACTAAGATTTTGCCAGTGAATTTCTTATTAGCAAAAATATAATATCTGCTCCAAATGAAACTCTAGGTCTTATAACAGATTTTAAATGTAGAACAGTGTGGTGATCTCTTTTTAAACGATTTAATACTCAAGAAGGGGTACTGGAAATGTATAGGGAAAACATAGGTTAAAGAAAATGAACCTGCAATTTGACCCACTGATCCCACTTCTAGGAATATACCCTAAGAAGCCTGAAACACCAATCAGAAAGAATATATGTACCCCCATGTTCATAGCAGCACTATTTACAATAGCTAAGATCTGGAAACAGCTCAAGTGCCCATCAGCAGACGAGTAAATAAAAAAGCTGTGGTAGCCCTGGCCGGTTTGGCTCAGCGGTTAGAGAGTCGGCCTGCGTCCCGAGAGACCCGGGTTCGGTTCCCACTAAGGGCACGTACCTCAGTTGCAGTTTGTCCCCGGCCCTGGTTGGATTGTGCGCGTGGCAACTACTCAATGTGTCCCTTTCACGTCAATGTTTCTCTCTCTCTCTCTTTCCCTCCCACTCTATCTGAACAAAATATCGAAAAATGTCCTCGGGTGAGGATTAAAAAAAAAGCTGTGGTACATATACACAATGGAGTACTATGCAGCTGTAAGAAAGAAAGATCTCTTATCCTTTGAGACAACATGGAGGGACCTGGAAAGTATTATCCTAAGCAAAACAAGCCAAGCAGAGAAAGACAAATATCACATGATCTCACTTATTTCTGGAATATAATGAACTAAACAAACTGATAAGCAAAATAGACCCAGAGACATAGAAGTAGGGTAGAGACTGACATTCCTCGGTGCGGGGGGGGGGGGGGGGGGGAGGATAAACCACAGAACTTATAAGCATGTGTGCATAACCGATGGACATAGACAACAAAGCTGGGGACAGGGTGAGAGGGGATAGGGAGGAGGGAGTCAGTGGGGGGAAAAAGGAGAAACATCTGTAATAAAAATAAATTAATTTTTAAAAAATGAACCTAACAAATGTACAGATAGCAAACCCAGACAGGCTGCCCTGGGGTTTGGGTTTCTTATACAAAAGGGACATGTGGCCTTTCCTTCTGGAAGCTGCAGCCAGGCAGATCGGCTGAAGCAGACGCTCATCATATCATAATGATGATCGATGGTATGTGCCAGTAGTCTGCACGTATGTGCTTTTACCAGATATGAAATATCAGGGAAGAAAAGAATTCACAAGGTTTTCTTTAAAAGGGGCTAGATAATACCCAGTTGGTGTGACTCAGTGGTTGAGCACTGACCCCTGCACCAAGAGGTCACTGGTTCGATTCCCAGTCAGGACACATGCCCAGGTTGTGGGCCTGATCCCCAGTGGGGGGCATGCAGGAGGGGGCCAACTGATGTTCTCTCTCATCGATGTTTCTCTCTTTCCTCCCTTCCTTTAACATCAAGAAAGAAAAAAAAGTTGAAAAATAAAATAAAATGTCTAGACAGCATGCAGAAACATTTAAGTAGCACACCAGGGCTCAGGACTGGAGCAGTTTCTGGGGCATGCATGTCTGAGACAGGACATGGGAGTCTTTAACCGGTTTAAGCTCAGGTTAAGCTAATCGTATGTGCTTCAGAACCCATCTCCTGCGTGATCAAGGTTAATACACATGTACATAAACACAAAGGCTCACACGGAGTGGATAGCCCAGTCATCTGGTTGACCTATTTGCTGTTTCTATCTCTGATGTCTTTTAACCTGGTGTCAGCAGGTCAGGTACGGCTCTTAATGGTCCCAACTACCTTTCAGTGTGATCTTTATGCATCAACCTCCAGGTGGTGCACCAAAAATTATTCCAAATCTGTAAAATACAGAAAAAAAAACCAAAAAAAAAAAAAACCCCACATACACACATAAATTGAATAACCATTTAAAATTAGACAGGAGAGAACTTAGGCATTCATTATCAGCTAATTCCCTTTTCTAAAATCCACACTCTGACTCGATCAGGGGGGTTCCCACACCCCGGAGAGGAAACTCGAAATGCACAAGTCTGGAATAAAACATATCCCGGTGGCTGAATCATCATCTCCTGGAATAAGACACAGTGTTTGTAAACTACACAAGAGGGACAGAAGTAGATGTTTTTTCAGTGTGCCTTTAAATAGATGTCTCTCTGACTCGGGGTTGAGGCCAATGGGCTCTGCTCTGTAGAGCGATGCCTAGGGAGGAAGGCACACGTTCTGCAGGTCAGCGCTGTCCCGGGCTCCCACTCAGGTCTTCGCCACGTTCTGCAGCACCGTCGTCCTGTCCTGGTCGCCGACTGCTGCCCAGGGATCAGAGTCTGTTTGCCTGCACTCTGCGGGCGGCTCCTCCACAGCGGAGCCGCTAACTGGCTGTGGGGCTGTGTGTGTCCTTCTGAGGTTCCTGCACCCCGAGTCCAGGGGGTCCGAGCTCTTGGAAAGCCAGGTGTTATTCAGAAGGTTAGGGTGGTGGAGCAGGCTCCAGAAGGGGTCCTGACAATCCCCCAGAAGGGAGGCCACCTCTGGTTTCGGCTCCTTGGGGCCGCCAGGCTGGGGGCCTGCTGGCTGTGGAACGAGAGTGCCCCCGTCAGACTGGCACGCGGGGGGGCAGTCGCTGCCGAGGCTGCCGCTGCGGGCGAGGTCCTGGAGGAGCTGGCTGTGGGCCTGCAGAACCTGCAGGTGGAAGGCCGCGGGGGCTGACTTCTTCCTCCTCGGGGGCACCTGGGGCGCCAGAGGCGGGACCTCCAGAAGGGGCGGCGTGGCCACGGCAGGGGCGGCGTCTGGCACCGGCTTTCCCACGCCCGGCCCCCTCTCGGCACCTTTCCCAGGCTGAAGTGTTCTTGGTTTGGGGACCGGAGGGACTGTGGCAAGAGGAGGGCTTTCGAGGCTTGTCTCCGGGGCCCCGATTGTGAAGTGGACAGTCTGTGGCCCGGAGTGTTCTTCTGGTGACGTGTGCTGAGAAAAGGCACGGTACAGAGTGTAAGTGAGGAGCACGCACGGGGCGCGCCGGGGATCAGCATGCAGACGGCCAGCAGGAGCCGAGAGGGCTAAGCGGACATTCTAGCAAATTCGAGATTTGAGAATGTGTGGGATGCGGCAGGGTGACCAGGTATGAAAGAACACAGCAGAAACACACATTTATCAAGTTGAACCAGCAGGGCCAAGGACATGTGAGTGGACACTTGAAAACCAGGGCCGCAGTGAATAACCAGACAAGTTTCCTTGGTCCCCTTAGGCAGGGACCCTCTCTCCCTACGGAAGGCAAACCTCGCTGCAAACCTCCGTTTGAGGCCACGACTTCGATAACTCAACTGCAGTCACTTATGTTCCGGCCTTAGGCTAAGGGAAGGCCTCATGGATACACCTGCTCCCTGAATCTTGGTGTTTGAACATAGAAGAATGGGAAGTTTTACACAGACACTTTACTTCCTTGGTTCCAATTCAAAACCATCCTGAAGACAACAGCCGCGCAGGGCAAAAGGAAGCGTTGGTGCCGGGGTGGCCACCCACGGTGTAGGCGCCAGCCCTTCCGCGTGGCCTTTGGTTCTTTAGAAAACAAACGGCAAACACAGTCCCTCCTCCAGCAGCCCCCGACTGTCTCCCCGGCAGCGGGCTGGGAAAACGTACTACGTCCTGGTTCCTGCCCCTGGCTTTTAAGAGAAAAGACCAAGCAAGTACAGGGGGAGGAGAAGGCAAAGGACAGAAGCAAGGAGCCGAAGCGGACAGAGGAGGCAGCGGGCTGGGCGAGAACGAGGCCCCGAGGCCGGCTCACGCGCCGCCGCGGGAAGCAGCAGTCCTCGGTCACGGCCAGCAAGGGGTTACCGAGGGTCCGGCACTAGAACACTGAGCTCAAACGGAAGATCCCGATGCCTCTAGAGGTGCCAGTCTTTGGGCGGCTACTGTCCTGACAAACTCATGCCTCTGAAGCAGCGAGCAAGGCTGAGAAGCTGGAGAGCGAGAGCAGAACACAATCTGCAAGAGAAGTGGCGAGAGAAGCGGTGGACCCTCCCGCGTCCAGGGCCAGCACTGCCCACAGGAACCGCTCTGCTCTAACACAACCGCAACCTGCCACGGGACACGGGCACGCACGGCACAGACCACACGCACGGGGGCCTGGGACCCTGGGGATCTGGCACCCCACCTCGGTTCAACGTGGGGGTGCAGCCGTCAAGCTCTTCTTGCCGTGGTGGGAAGTCCCTGGCTTATCTGCTCAGCTAGAGCCAGGGGCACGAGGGAGAAAGCCATTGCCAAGCATGTGCCTCAAGGATGGGGCTGTCAGGGCCTCGTGGATGTTAATGGAGGGACAGACTCAGCTCTTTATCTGGACATCGAGCAACGCAGGAGGCGGCGGCGATGCTGGCGGTTCTTACCTTGCCGGTCCTCCTAAAGGTTGGCTTCTTCATGGTAGGGACTCGGGGTGCCGGCCGACGGGGCAGGAGCGGGGCTGCCCCCACCATGGGCTCTGGTTTGGAGGACCCCTGGTCCCTCAGGGCCGTGGCATTTAGGACTTCTCCCGGGGCGCCTGAAACAGACAAGTACCAGGCTGAGGTGTACCGCGCAAGGGGCTCACTGCATGATGTGACCTTAGGCAGTTTACATTCGGAGGGTATTTCTTTTTTTCTAAAAAATGTTTGAGGGTTGTCAGGACCAACCAGCGAGGTTTGGCCCCCAGCTTCTCATGCTCATCTTCCAACAGGAACCCAGGTGAGCTGGGTCCGTGCACGGTCTTGATGGGGGATCAGTGGCGCCCGGACATCCTGTGTGTGTTTCTCACAGGAGATGGTCTAAAACTCCTCAGAATCTCAGCAGGGCCCATGACCAAGAAAATGTTAAGTTCAGACTCCAGGTAGATTTCAAACCCCAAATCTCTCCTAACCTCCATATCCATAGAATTAAAAAAAAAAAAAAAAAAGCAGCCCAGCTGGTGTGGCTCAGTGGTTGACCGTCAACCCATGCACCAAGAGGTCACTGGTTCGATTCCCGGTTAGGACACATGCCCAGGTTGTGGGTCAAATCCCCAGTGGGGGGCATGTAGGAGGCAGCCAATAGATATTCGCTCTCATTGATGTTTCTATCTCTCTCTTCCTTTCTAAACAATAAAGAAAATAAAAAGCAATATGGCCTGGCTGGAGTGGCTCAGCTGGTTGAGCATTGTCCTGTGCACCAAAAGGTTGCCAGTTTGATTCCTGGTCGGTGCACATCCCTGGGTTGTGGATTCGATCCCCAGTAGGGACATGTACAGAAGGCAACCGATTGATGTTTCTCTCTCACATCAACGTCTGTCTCTCTGTCTCTCTCTCCTTTCCTCTCTCTAAGCATGTCCTTGTGTGAGGATTAAATATAAAAAACAGCAGCATAATTCACATACCATAAAGTACACCCTTTAAAGAACACAGTTTGTGGTTTTCAGCGTATTCAGTTTTGCGACCATCACCACTGTCTAATTGCAGAGAACATCTTCACCCCACAGAACCCCAAACATACCCACACTCATTCCTCACACCCGCCTCTCTGCAGCCCTGGAAACACAGCCACCTTCTGTCCGTAGATTTGCCAATTCTGCATATTTCATACAAATGGAGTGTGTGTGTGTTCACATAGCACACTCTTTTCAAGATTCCCCCGGTATAGCATGTATTAGTACTCCATTCTTCTCTATGGTTGAATAATATTCCATTGTATGTTTACACCACATTTTATTCATTCATTAGTTGATGGACACTTGAGTTGTTATATACAATTGTAATTATATTTTAAAATAAAAAATAGCCCTGGTCGGGTAGCTCAGTTGGTTAGAGCGTTATCCCAATAAGCCAAGGTTGCAGGTTCAATCCCAAGTCAGGGCACATATAAGAATCCAGCAATGGCCCTGGCCGGTTTGGCTCAGTGGTTAGAGCATTGGCCTGTGGTCTGGAGAGACCAGGGTTCGATTCCTGCTAAGGGCATGTGCCTTGGTTGCAGTTTGTCCCCGGCCCTGGTTGGGTCGTGCGGGTGGCGGCCACTCGATGTGTCCCTTTCACGTCGATGTTTCTTTCTCTCTTCCTCTCTTTCCCTCCCACTCTATCTGAACAAAAAATGGAAAAATGTCCTGGGACGAGGATATAAAAAAAAGAATCCAGCAATGAATACGTAAGTAACTTTAAGTGGACAGTAAATCTTAGAAGTAGAATTTCATAAAATCCTACTAATGGGTGCTTTCATCTGATACTGCCTTTAGGAAAAAAGAGTCATTTCCTCTTCTTGAGCCCTTTCAGCAGGAAGATGAGAAGGAAAGAACAGAGCTGCCCCCTCGGGAGGAGCCCCCGGGTGCACCCACCTCCTCTGGCTTCCAGAAGACATCGGATCGCTGCCTCCGCCTCCTGAGCATTCGTGGTTTTGATCTGCTTGACATTGTAAGGTTTACTTATCCCAGTCCTGGCTTTGGGCTGGAGGACAGAATGGAGAGGAAGGGGTTAACGCAGGCAGGAAAGCAGCCTCACCTGGCCCGGCCATGCCCACTGGTCAGCACCCAGAGCTCTCAGACAGTGACTGACAGTCCTGTCTGCACCGCATCCTCCAGCCTCCCCTGCCCCGCCCCGGGAGGGGAACGCAATAGTATTTAAAGTGGAAGACCCCTGTCTCCCAAACCGGTGGTTACAGGTTTTTGCAAAGTGGACAAGCCACCCTCTAACTTTATTTCAATAACCAGGAAAGAACCAGAAGCCATGCCTTCCATGCCCCAGATGAGTGTTTAAAACACCTTCCAGATAGGTTTACTAGGAAGTGGCTTTCTACCTCTTCCCCCCAAACCTCTGGGTCCCCTTTGATGACCTGCCTTCAATCCCCTGCTCCTGTGCGACCTGGGAAGCACCAGGCCAGGCCCTCTGCACCGTCCTGGGACCCATTAGCTTCCTCCAGCACCAGGCTTCTCCTCCCTCACCCACAATCTTTAGCAGCTCAGTACCATCCTCTGAGATTGTGCACCTCCAAAGCCTACAGAACTTACTATTCCTAGTGCCCCCCACTGCGTTACTTAGGCCCATAGATCTTTTTAAGCCTCTTCTCTCAACTAACTTGACTCCAGAGTGATGGTGATTTTGCCCAGACAATGGATCTGAATTTCTCCTGCTTTCTCTTCTACCAAGCACTGCCCTACACACCAAGGTCAAAGCCAGGCTTCGGAAGAGAGAGAAGCAGGTGAGCCTGGAAACCAACAATCCTGCCACGCAGGGGCACTTGGACTTTTCTTCAGCGTGGTTTCTCTCCAATGCCCTGCACGACCATTTAAAAGCCCACAAATGACCTGCAACTCAGCTGAGGGATTTGGGGATGAGCTGGTGGACAGTTCGAGGGTTAGAGAGAAGAAATCTCTACATTCACTGAAAAGGGGTGATCCCGGGTGATCTTGGGGCTGGGGTCTGAAATACAGAAGAGCTCACCGCTTGCTGAGGTGCTCCTGGGAGAAGCTTCGCCGTCTGCAAAATCGAGTACTGTCCGTGGGTGCCCGAGATGGACACATCCGAGGCCGACTTTTTCACCACTAAACCTGCTGTAAAAACCAACAAGGGCAGAGGCTGTGTCTCGGTGACGTCACTGACTGCTCTCAGGCAAATTCCCAGCCAGCTGACAGCAAGGCAGCCTGACGCCCAGAAGCCCCATGGGCACCACAGACGCAGCTGGGCGTCTCCGATGGGCTAGCAGCCTGTCCCTGCAGATTCTCTGGAAGAGCATTATTTCAATGTACATGTTAATCTACTATCCTGGGGGCTTCATTTTAAGTGACTTAAAATACCCTATTACTAGGACCACATTTTTTAAGTGTTTTAAGGACAAAAGCTAAAAAATCCCAAAGCAGAGGAAAAATCTGTGTTAAACTGTACGTGCAGCTATTAACAAGTGATGTTCTAGAACATTTGATGACAGACAGGAGAGGAAAGAAATCACCAAACAAAATGGATACCAATTTTGTAAAGAACATGAAAATAATAAATTGGCTGTGGACGTAAAATTGGGGGAAGGCTGGAAGTCTTTTTGATTAACACCTATTATCTCTAGGTAGCGAACTGAAATTAAAAATTTAATTCTTTTGCCCTCGACAGTGTTGCTCATTGGCTATAGCACCGGCCCATGGATCAAAGGGTCTTGGGTTCAATTCCTGGTCAAGGACACGATACCTGGGTTGCAGGTTTGATCCCTGGACCTTATTGGAGTCATGTGGGAGGTAACCAATCGATGTCTCTCTCTTTCTTCCTCCCTCCCCACTCTATCTAAAAATCAATGGAAAAATATCCTCTGGTGAGGATTAAAAAAAAATATATATATATATATGTATATATATAAAATATTTAGATTTTGTATTTATATTTTATTTTTTGTATATCAACTCAGAAAAGTAAAAAACATGCTTAAAAGTCACATGCTTCCGGCTTGCTAATTACTGTTGTGACCTAAGCCAAGCGGAATCCAATTCTGAAAGTTAAGCCTTAGCAAAATCTATGTCTGTCACATGGGGACAGTGGGGGGAGGTGAACAGAGGTAACTAGAAACTGGCCAGAAGCAGGTCATGACTTTATTTTCCAGTTATTAATGGGAATTTGACGGGCAAAGCGCTGTTCTGAGGGCCAGGGAGAACCCCGGGCGGCTGCAGGCCTGCACTCGGGCAGGGTGCCTGGTGAGGGGTGCCGTGCGGTCCCTGGGTTTCTCAGTGGAGGAAGGGCTGCCAGCAGGCAAGGGGAGAGGCCTCTGAAAGGTGCTGGGGAGCAGGTGGGAGAAGCCGAAAGGCCCCCTTGCACGGCTGATGCCCCAGTTTTCCAGGGTGTTGAACAGAAAGCAACTTAAGCAAAGCGCAGCGTACAGGGGACCAACCACAGCCTTACCAAGGGATCGCGAGAGCACAGCCATCCCTCTGATGTCAAACATCATGGGTTTAAGACAAAGGGAACCAGGGAGGGCAGAGGCGCGGGGCTCGAGGGCTAGGGAGGCGATTCAGAGCCCGGTGTGCAGAAGCAGGAAATACGCAGACATTCCCAGCAGGCGTGGGAGCCCAAAGCAGCGAGTCTTACTTGGAGGGGGGGGTCTCTGCGGTGGGTGAGGTGGCCGAGGCCTATTGGGAACCGACAGAGACCTACTTGGAGACCGGTGGCAGGCCCCAGCGGCTTCCAGCTCCTGCTTTAACTCCTCCAGGGCGGCATCATCTGGAGGACATGCGGAACGTGAGTGAGGTGAGTCGGGTCGGGCTCGGGTGTGCACGGGGCCCCCTGGGGCAGGAGCTCCGCAGGACAGCTGGACTGTGCCCCTCTCTGCTGGCAGGGGAGGGGAAGGCACCCAGTGCCTGCTGGGAACATTCAGCGAATCCTAGACAGGACTGCCCAGACGTGAGACACACTGAACATTTTGGAGGACAGATAGGTGTGTTTCCTTCTGAAACGGTCAACAAGACGCCCACACGGAGTAGAGGAGACAGTTGGAAACTAGAGTCCCTCATTTTAAAGCCCTAACCCTAAAAACGTGACAACTGCCCTGGCCGGTTTGGCTCAGCGGTTAGAGCATCAGCCCGTGGACCAGAGAGTCCTGGGTTCGGTGTCCGCGAAGGGCACGTACCTTGGTTGCTGTTTGTCCCCGGCCCCAGTTGGGGTCGTGTGGGTGGCAACCGGTCGATGTGTCTCTCTCACATTGATGTTTCTCTCTCTCTCTCTTCCCCCATCTCTCCTGAAGATAAATACAAAAATGTCCTCTGGTGAGGATAAAAAATAAATAAATAAAATAAAATAAAAAAATAAAAACGTGACAACTGTTTGGGATGCGGAGAATCATCTCACTTCTGGGCCGGCGGGCCATCCAGCAACACGCCCCTAGCGTGAGGTTCTGAGCACTCAGGTGCCTAGCACTGGGGCTCAGGGCCCGCTACTTCACATGTGTTCACATCCCGACCTCTCCTGCCAGAACCCTCCAAGGCGAGGGGCAGCATGAGGAAGTGTCTGCTTGTCAGTGCACATTCGTTTATCACTTGTAAATGCAGACAGTTTCCGGTCCGCTCTCTCACACTTCAACACGGCCTGGTTCATTTCATTTGGCTCAGACACCCCATCCCTCAAATCCACAGCTGCACCCCATGTGATCCGAGGTAGAGCGGGGAGAAGTGGGGGTTCTCTTCTAACGAGAATGTCTGAGCACCCAGAGGGTGACAACATGTCAATGCCACCAGGTGGCTGGGCAGCCCCCACAGCCGTTGCTCCCGTCTCCATTCAGAGAGGCGTCTGCTCTCATGTCTGCCCTCCCCTCATGTCTGCTATCCCTGGAGAAAGGGGCACCTGTTGTCTGAAGAGCACATCCCTTCGGCCACTTCCACTCCAGGGCAGGAGCCCTCTGGACACGTAATGCACAGAGCAACCTGACACTCTGATGCAGGCTGCTGGTCCTGTCCTGGGCAGCGGTCCCCAAACCTGGAGGCGCATTTCTATCACCCAGGGCTTAGCCCACCTTCGCCCAATCCACATCTCCATGACGGGGCAGGTCCCAGAGCTCCTGATAGTTCAGTCGGCCAGGCTAGTAACCAGCTAAGGAACTGCCATCCAGTTGAAGGGACTTGGGGGTAACTGCACCTCTCCCGGCACCTTACTTTCCCTGGGAAGCATTTAACTCACTTCCACCCTGTTCTCTGTTTTCAGCCCCAGCTCAAAGGGTCCTGACACCTGGCTAAGCTCCTGCACCTGCTGGTTACAGCGCCTCTGCCGCTAGACACACTTGACCGACAGCTAGCTGGAAGGCACTCGCGGCGGGGGAGGGTTCTGTGCTCACGGGTCTGATGCTGCAGCAGCAACACCCTCTCCAGCCCGTGGATAAGAGTGGGATCTAAAACTATTCAAGAGTCACCGTACCATATAATCTAGGGATGTGCCATTCAACCCACATGCCTGTCAGTCTACAGTGATATAATGGTGCCAATATCATTAATTACATGTATAATTATATAATGTATAAAGTTATTACCAAATAATAATATAATGTTATGAGAAGGTAACAGACCAGCAGTTCAGGACATGGATGCTGAATATGCCTCTTATGGGATCGAATCAGAAAAGTTTTGGAGAGGGAAAACATAATCCAGTGTAAAACTAGTCAGAGCGGTGGCCATTTGAATACATAGGAGAGACCAGGATTATCACGAATCTGGGGTACTACCCATGCAAGTAACACAAATCACTAGAGAAAATCAGTGTGGTGGTAGCTGCTAGCTTCTCAGAGCCCAGTGCCCACCGCTTGCCACGACGCCGGGTTCTAGCCCTTCGTGGGATGGCGCACCTGGCATTACCCACAGAGGCTGAGCAAGGAGAAAGCTCAGTACCCAAGGCTACTGAGAGAAGAAAGGTCCGAGCTACCTCTATAGGTCGGATGTTGCTTCTTTCTGGCTGGTGCGGGTGACTTGCTGGGTGGCGCTGCCGCTGTGGAGCCGGGGGCGTCGGAAACGTCGTCCCCCCCCAGCTCACCGTCTGAGACCACAGGCTGACTCAGTTCATCCAGGTAGTCTTCGTCATCTTCGAGAATATCCCCTTGGGGAACAAGTGAGTCAGAAGGTTGGGGTGGGAAGGTGTGGCCTTTCAGGGCGGGTGTGTCCTGACATGGTGGCCCTGGTCAGGACACTGCGTCACTGCTAGCAGGCCCCGGGGTCCACGGATCCACAGGAATGAGACCCTCATCCCATTCACGCCAGGGACAGGGACCAAACCTGAAGCCCTGACCCTCAGAACCACTGTTCTCATGTGAGGTGACATCTCAGGCCCGATCACCGCGTCACGCACCCGCGATGCACCGCACTTCAGGGACCCCATGACCGTTCCGAGGCCAGAAGGCCCCCGACGACCTCATGCCCATTCTGGGAGAAACACCCGCCTGCCCGCCCGCTTCGCCGTCCTGGCCGAGAAGGCCTCACAGGCCTACTCACCCTCTGACTCGTAGTCCAAGCTCGTGAAGTCGAAGTTCTCCTCCAGCAGGCAGGAGTTGGCCGTGGGAGACACAGGGGCCATGCTGTCCCGCTTCCGAATGATCTCCTCCTGCAGACCTTTGAGCCAGTCCTTGGTCTTCGGCCGAACCGTCACTGCTCTGCCTTTCACCTGTGGGGGACAGAGGCCAGCCCACAGTGAACGCAGGAGCCGGACAACCCCGCTGGTCCCCAAGTGCTCTCGCTCAAACGCAGGCGCCAGGAGCCAGTCTTCACGTGCCCCGAGCAAGGAGGGTCCAGACCTGGGCAGGCTCACTTGGTCTAAATAAAAGTAACACTATCATCTTCAGCTTCTCATTCCGTGGGAACTGAAAATCAGGTGTTACCTGGGCTGCCTACTCCAGAGTACATGCTCGAGAGAGAAAGATCGCAACATCTCCCACGGGGAGGTGTGAGCCTAGCCTGACCCAGTAACCCCGTGGGAACCGGCCTCCAACACGCGCTTCCTCCCAGATCCTGCCAGTCACCATGGCTGGACATCAGCCACCTCCGCAGATACCAGAATCAGAGGCCAGATGAAGAGTCCTAGCTCCTGCCCTCAGGTGGCACCTACATCTAAAGACACGCAGGAGAGGGACGGCGTGACCCTGTGAAAGCTCAGGAAAACCACGGGCATTAAGGAGCCATGGTGCCAGGCGAGACTCACCTTCATACCATCCACATCGAGGACACTGAGAGCCGAGTGACTGTCTGCAAAAGTCACCAGCATCTGCCCTTGTTTGATCCTGGAATAAAGGAAATACGTCAAGTCAACCCCAAGAGACACTCGGCAGCTCCCACGCGCCCTTGTCACCCATGGAAGCCACACCAGCCGGGGCAGCGGTTACCTGACGAGAACAATCGTCCCGTAATTCCCCAGGGTCTGCATAAGTTCCGTGCGCACATCCTCAGGAAACTCGTCTTTCTCCTCTGAGGTTGGTGACTGAAGGTTGACCACGACGGTGGCATCCAGGGGGCCCTGGAAAGAGGACACTTCCTGGAACACCCTCTCCCGAGCACCCACGTCCACTTCTTGAACTTCCACCTCCACGATGGCCAGCACGGGTCTGCGTTAGACATGGAGGGAAGGCGGGCAGTGGTTAACCCAGGACAAGGCGCCGCACAGCCCTGCCTCAGTCCCCAGAGCTGTCCCCTGAACAGAACCACCAGCGGGCCTCGACGGGCCCCAGAAGGGCACTGCGGCCTCCCAGGGTTTCAGTCTTCTCTTCCCCCAAACTTAGTGTGATCTTGGCATTTTTATCCAAGAAGGAGTTGAGAGGAAACTATACCAGCCATCTGAGAAGGTTTTTCACGTGACAATGGCCAGGACGAGGGGCAGAGAAGGGGCTTCCACGCTCCCTCTGCCGGGGGTCAAGCTCTTCAGAGGGCTATTTTGATTTAAGAATCTCAAAAATGCTCATCCCTTTTAATCTCAATTCTAGGACTTTGTTCTAAGGACTGGCCAGAGCTCCAGACCAAGATTTTATGCACAACGTTGATCATTACAACAGTTGTTGGGACAAAGAGGGAAACAATGTAACTGATCTGAGACAGGAATAGTTAAGTTATGACATGGATAACACGCTACACATGTGTACTTGTTAAGGACAACACTGTAGAAGATGATGAATTATTATACAATTGTATACCTAAAACCTACATAATTTTATTAACCAATGTCACCCCAGTAAATTCAATGGGAAAAAAAGAATAATGCTGTAGAAATATGATGTACATAGAACAGATCAGCAGAAAATAATGCAATCAGTATTGCCATTTTGATATAGGAATGGGTTTACTCTATTTACAAAAAATTTAGAAAATCTTTTATTATAAAGATTATATAACCTTATTGAAGGCATTTATAATACAATATTTAGTGGAAACAAAGCATAGTGCAAGATAGTATATAATACAGTGGCACATTTTAAAACTAGGGCATGCCGTAAAAATTAAGAGATATGGGTGATAATATCAGTAGTCTCCTCCCGCCTCCACAAAGTTACATTATTACTGTTAGTTTTTTGGCATCTAGAAGAAGAGAGAAAGAGAGGAAGAAAATTGAGAAAAACCTGACCCAGGGATATGCACTGTTCTTACAAACTTCTTTTAGCAGAAAACCTTTCCAGAGACACCCCAGGGGTTGGCAAGAAGGGGGCGTCCCTGAAGAGAGCGGCGTGGGCAGCGCTAGGGGACGGACTACCAACACACAGACACTCTGCTGATCCAAAAAGGCCACACCCCAATTTGGTTCCATTTATAGAACATCCTTGAAATGACAACCGTATGCAAAGGGAGGAAAGATCAATGGTTGACAGAGGTTAGGGAGGGCTGGGCAGAGGGAAATGAGCATGGCCACCAGAAAGGCAACGCGAGGTCCCCGTGGTGACGGACACGTCCCTTCCTTAGCTTGGCTGTCTCAATGTCTGTATGCAGGCTGTCACCCTGTCCTCCAGATTTACAGGGTCTTACCAGCAGGGGAACTTGGTAAAAGGTACATATTATTCCTTACAACTGTGTGGGAATCTACAATTACCTCCAAATAAAATGTTAATGTAGCCCTGGCCGGTTTGACTCAGCGGTTAGAGCTTCGGCCCACGGACCAGAGAGTCCTGGGTTCGGTTCCCGCTAAGGGCACGTACCTCGGTTGCAGTTTGTCCCCAGCCCCGGTTGGGGTCATGTGGGTGGCAACCACTCGATGTGTCTCTCTCACATCGATGTTTCCCTCTCTCTCTCTTCCACTTTATCTGAAGATAAACGCAAAAATGTCCTCGGGTGAGAGAATACAAATAAAACCCTGAAACTCTAGGGTGCTTATAAAACCTTGGAAAAAACATTGGTCAACAGATGACTGGAACATTGGACAGCAGTCACACATGAAGGAGCCAGATCTCTACTATCAATGTGAACGTCTCTCACAAATATTACAGAGCAAAAAGCAACTTGACAATGGCATCATTTATGAACATAGAAGTGACCCAAAATACTATAGGTCGTGTCTTTGAAACGTGTATAAGAGATGTCTTTTATAGTACGGAGCAATGATAAGATGCTAACGCTCACTGATTCTTGGTGGTGGGTCCACAGTGATCTGTCATACTGTTCTCTGTGCTTCACTGTGTTGCACATGCACGCACATGCACACGCGCGCACATGCACACGCACGCATTCTCACGGGGGCAGCACGCTGTTCTCTGTGGGGAGCAGCCGATGTTGCCTCCCAGCAGAGGAACACGCGCCCATGGTGGCGAGGACCATACCTGTGATCAGAAGCCTGCAGCTCTGCTCGGCCATAATACTTCAGGACTCCAGGAGACCAGGTGTGTCTGACTTTGGCGTCAGCATCTAGGTCGTTGTCTAGAAGGTTGAGTTCTTCAGCTACTCACAGGATTCCGATCAAGAGACCCACAGAAAACACAAAATTGTATCAACATAACAAATGCTGATTATAGAACTTGTACAACAGGGATGGGCTACACGTGTCTCAGACTCCTTTGCTCTAACCTCGGGCTTGAAGCCATGCCCATAGGGCCTTGGACCTGGGGTAAAAAACTCCTCCCATGTGGATTGTCCAAAACAGTAAGACCAGCCCCACCTGCACTTTCCCCAGTGGGTACCATGCGGGGGACAAAGAAATGATGCTTTGAGATATCTGCCCCAGGGCACAGGGACACAGGTCTGCACCCCTCTGCACAGTAGAGATACTGAGGCTAAAAACAGAGGCCTCTCAGTGCCCTGTGGCCATTCAGGTGTCCACAAACGAATTTGAACAAAAATGTACATTTTTCAACCTGCAGATGCGAGGCTTTGACATCTCAGCATACATCTCACCAGAGAAGTTCAGTTGTTTATGTATCAGTTTATAGGTGGTCTAATTTTAAATCAATTGTACTTCCTTGCTGGGATCATCGTTCAAGACACACTTGAAACTAATTGATAGCAAACTATTATCTTTCTCATGTTCGGTTTGGAACTGGGGCTTCAGCAGATAAGAATCTGGTGGGCGGAATGGCCTGGGTGGTGTGCTGGCGGGTGAGGGCAGAGGCAGTGGAGGGGAAGGCGTGGTTTCTCTCCTGTTCCCCGCCCATAACAAAGGTGGGCGGTGGGGTGTGGGGGACAGCTGTGGTGCAGGGATGGAGTCAGAACAGGTATATTTGCAGATCAGTCTCTAAAAAGAGAACAGAGGGGAGCTTCCCTCAAAGCTCAACTTCTGAAGCTTAGGGGCTAATATCTGGGGTGATTCTTGTGTAGCTTTGGATCATCAAGAAAATGTTCTTTATATAAAAAAAGAATCCTGGGCCGAGTGTGATTTTCCCTCCATGTATTGACCACCGCCCTCCACCAGCTCTGAACACGCACACATCCCACGCACCTGTCCTGTCGAAAGGATGCCTCTTCCTCCACCACAGGACCCGGTCTGTCCAGGCGGGGGTGCGGCATTTGTCACTTGTGTCGTAGGCAGCGGAGCCAACGTCATACTTGTAGGTGGGCCCAAAATTAATGCTGCCTTCGTGGAAGTCTTTAAAAATCTAGTGGGAGAAAAAGAAGTTCTCTTCATTCCTAAAAGTCACAGAATCTACATTATATTTACAAAGATGTCTAAAACGGAACCTGTGTGTGCCTTTTAATTCGCAAAACAGTGATGACTGTTGTTTACCTGCCTGACTCACCACCACGGGGCCCTCCCCCGGCACCGGACCTACCACCCGTCTGGTCCGCACATCCCAGGCCCGGCAGTGCCCGCCCATACCCAGCAAGGCCGTGACGGGTGTTGGTTAACTAAACTAATCGTGTGAACAGAAGCGCAGAACTGAAGTTGGGCTCCTCCACCTTCTTGTAGCTCTAGATCCAGCCCAGGTTCGGGAGACCCGGGAACAGGTGTTTGCTCAGTGCACCGAGGAAGAACATTGGTGGGAGGAAGAAACACACACCTGTCTTAGGAAGGTCTCGGGTGGTTAGATTTCCACCCGAAAACCCTCAGTGATCCATGCCGATGGAAGAGCTGAGGGGGATGGGCACGGAAAACCTGGAGGAACATCTAAACCTCATGGAAGGAGAGATCTAACGTCCTTATCTGCACACATTTAACCAGCTGTGGTCTCAAAAGATAAACGGAAGTGAGCTGTGCTTCCCTCCTCTCGGCCCAGCCTGATGGAAAGCTAACAGGCACCAGAATAAGCTGGAGAAGAAAGTAAGTTTTGGGTCATCTGGAGGCTAACCAGTGTGACCTTGCAGAACTGAGGACAGACCCTACATTTTATTCTTTCCTTTGACATCATGGCCCAGAGTCACTAAAAATCTGCCCCTGGATCACATAAGCGGAGAACAGGAGCTGTGTAGTATGATCTTGGACGAGTTCTTTGAACTTAGCCTCACTTTTCTTGTCTATAAAATGGGTATAATAACTAGTCTGTAGGATGGTCTTGAGAGTTAACCCCACAAATTGGTGTGTAAAGCATATATTAGATATTGGTCTAACTTGTTAATGTCTTCACCAATGAGGAAGAGAGAGCTCTTCCAAATCCAGTATTCTGAGCAGAGTCTAACGAGCCCCTTGGTTTGCTGCAGCTGAAGTGCTGTGTGCCCTAAAGGCCTGCACGTGAGTATGAGTGGGGTGCACTTATGGACAAAAGCTTTGCCATCCTCATGCACCAGGGTGCTCCGATGCTGGCACGGGGCCATTCCAAGCAGCTGTGACTCAAACTGAGTGCAGCTACTTTCTGGTTTGACAGAGAAAGGGACAGCAGCCCCACCTCCACGCACAGGGTGCGGGCTCTGGTGGTGACAGAGTGCCTTCCGCTGCCGCTGGGTCCCTCAGCTGGCTGATGTGCCTGCAGGTGTCCTTTCCTGTGGCACCGGCCCCTCCGCCGTGAGGACACACACCCGCACACAGCCCATTTGGGAGGAACAGGAGTGTGTGTGAACAGACGCTCACCCGTCTCTAACTCTGCAGGCCACACAGATTTCCTACATCGCGGTCCTCGTTCAGCCCACGCGTGGAACTAAACGTGCCGGACACGAGCACACACATTGAGAAGTTATTCCCCGTTGGAGCAGATGTGGAACTACTTCAAAAGCACAACTTACTTTCCCGGTGGATTTCTGTAGCTGTAACTGATCAAATTCCAGAAGTTTCTTCCAGTCTTGGCGTTTAACGAAATAGAAGACTTCTTCGTAAGTGAGATCAATGCGGTAGTTGAAATCGCCACACCAAAACACGTAGTCGTGGGAAAAAATGCTCCTTCCCTAAGTTGTAAAGAAAATCACAGTCATTCCGGCCCGTCTTGCGGGGCAGGTAGGAGGGGAGAAAACCTCGCCACCCAGGCGATAAGCAGATGCATTTTCTTACATGTTACTTTAAAACGTGTTACTTTAAAGCATCTTATGTTTCACTTATCCCTTACACCTACTGAGGAACTTGTGCATGGCTCACTTTCTGAATTTTAAGTAGTAGTGTTTTTGAGGGGTGTGGAGAAATCTCCAACTCCAACCAGGCAGCATGACTGCTGATATCTACTCTGCTGATCGGTCCCATGAGTGTGTGGCCTGCTGTTATGTCTATATCCTAAGAAGAAATGCCTGAACTATGTTATGAGGACAGGTGTCAGGAAATGAGTAAAATTGCTCCGGACATGCAACTTCGTAAACCTTCATGGATTCTGTCCATCGTCATGGGTGACCTTCCCTTCTCATCCTGCCCAGTCACTCGGTTCTGGAAGCCCGGACCCTCGCCCTCCCTTCCCCCAGGGACCACAGTGTTGGCAGCTGCTACCTATCAACTGCCCACAAGGGCGCTGGGCTCCATGCCGGGGCCACACTGTCCTTACAGCAGCCCTGTGAAGCACACCCTACTGGCTTTTGTAGATTTAAAAAAAAAAAGTTCAGAAAAACCTGCTGAAGGATGCACAACTGGTGGGTGATAAAGACAAGATGTGAACGTGGCTCCCAAATCTGTTTCTGTTCTACTACACTCCGTGGCATCCCCATCCCCCAATCCACAACAATAACCTGGACAGACGCTGAAAATAATCACAACCAAATAAGATGAGTGTTTCCTTTGGGCAGGGCTGCCCAGTAGAACTTTCGCAGGGACAGAAACTTTCCTACCTGCGCTGTCCAAGACGGGCCACCAGCGGCCGCGGCCACTGAGCACTTGACATGTGGCCAGTACAACTGAGGGAGCTTTAACATTTGAATTCGTTTCCATGTAAACAGCTGTGGGAATAGTAGCTGCTTTTTTGGACAGTGCAGGTGTGGAGTATCGACTTATAGATTCCTTCAGTGTTCTGTTGAAAAGGAGCTACATTATGTGTCTTTTAATTAGTTTGAATGTGTCCTTCAAATAGGTCATAATTCTTTCGAAAGCACTGTTTAGTGACAAGGTTGGACTTATTTTATTACATAGACACACAAGGAAAATATGCATAAGATCCTACGTAGTCTGGAAAACAATAAATTGGCAATTTCCCAACTCATTCGTTTCTTCTTTAATCCCAGGGATAAATACTACAAGGGTTACGGCATTTGTTAATGAAAAGGAAGGAATTTTTGCCTTGAACGCCGTGCAGCCGAGTAAATGGGATGTCACTTTTAAGGGATCTGGCCTCCCAGGGAAGAGCTCCAGGACCTAATCGACAGTGTCTCAGACACTGTGGCAAGAACAGCTGAAGTCTAGCCTCACTGCCCGGAAACAGGTGGTTTGCACCAGGCGGAAGGTGTGAGGGCCACCGGGCTTGCACAGAACGGAGAACATTCAACTCCGAATCGAAAATCCGCAGGCTTCAGAAGGAGACCTCCGGATCACCACTAGAGGGCGCACAACACATGTTACTGGTGACTGCTTGACCAGATGGGCCATCCAGGGCTCCGGAGGCAAAAATTCACTGGTTTAGAAAATGGGCCTTTGTATCTAAGGCCCAACAGGATCTATGTGCCAAGACTGTGAATCTCAAGAAAACCAAGTCTTGTACTGTTAGGACTCAAATGTTCTTCATCAGCGGGGACAAAGCATGGACACACTGGTTTTCACTCCCTGTTCCATTGAGATAGAAAATCAGAAAAAGCAGTAAGAAAACGCAGGGCACGGAAGGACACTGAAGAAATCTACAAAAAGGGGGCTGATCCCTCCAGGCTGGATGCCCTGGACTTGCCTCTACTGAACCCAGCTCATCTCCCTCCCCTAGTCCAAGTCCCCGAGGGCAGAGTCCCCTTCTCTGGCCTACCCAGACCAGCAGCTCGGCACCCACGCGCGGGGGCTGGGCGGCACGTGGAGGCCAGTGTGTGCACCCCTTCCGGCCCCCTCGCCACTGCCGGCCACCACGCACCCTCGGCGGCGCCTCACCATGGGGAAACTCAGCTTCTGCGTGATCTCCCTGTAGTCCTCGTTCCTCTCCTTCACCTGCGACTGCCCGGCCGTCAGGTGGCTGCACACGAAGCAGAAGCTGCTGCTGTGGAACTGGAAACGGATGCCCACCGCACCTTTGTTCCCCGCCTTTCCCCCCATGCCCGTCTTCACCGTGTCGATGGCCACATCCCTGCAACAGACAGTGAGCACAGGCGGTGGCTTCTGAGTGGCTTCGGGGCGGGGAAGCATCCGCCTGTGCTGCTACAGAGAAGAGGCTGGGAGCTGGAGAAGTCCACCACCACCAGCTCAGAGCTGTTTAATCACCAGCGTGACCACCAGCTCCAGGTCCTTCCTGACCCCTCCCCTCACTGTCGGCAGCTGCCCCGGGGGTTCGGAGTGTCTCCTCACAGCCCCGACTTGGAAGGGCTCTGCACTCACAAGACACCCCCCGAAGCAGCCCTGAAGCCGATCCACCTCCGCCCCTGCTTTCTGTTCAGGTTCTCACGGACACAGAAGCAGCATGAACCTCAGCACCCCCAGCCCATCCCCCCCTGGCTTTCCTGCAAGCACAGGAGGTGCCATCAGGTGGTCAATACATGTTCAAGGACCAGGAAGCATCCCGTTATCTACGCTGGGCTGGGCAGGTGGTTTCGGTGCCGCTGCCTGCTCGCCTTAGAATGCCAACTTGTAATGCCCACAGTGAGTGCACGGGAGCAGACCACGGACTGAGCAGACAGGCCTTCCCCTGCGGGGGCGCTTTCTGCCCGCACATCTTATTTAGATGTCTTTTTAAAAGAGGCAGAAGAAGTGCTATTTCCTGGTGAGTTGCTCAGTTCTTGGTCAGAGGTTCCCATCTACAATTGCAACGAGGTAGCCCTTCCCTTGTGCGGCGCTGAGCTTGGGTGACCATGGTCATGTGACACTCCTAAAAGAGTTCAGCTTCCTAAGCTAGACGGTCCCCATTGTGACTTATGAATTGCTAGACAATATTCCATTCAGCCGAGCTTCTCCTTGGGGTTTTCTCCCATTTATCTAGAATAATGGCAGGACCTGATTCCTGCTGCGGGAGGAAGTCGGAACAAACACCACGACCAACAATCCCGGGCCCCCAGATGTGCGGAAACGCAAGGTTCTTACCTGATGAATGGGACATGGTACGGACGTACAAAGATGTACAGACAGACGCCCACCAGCTGCGCCGACGTCAGGAGAATGTACCTGTGAGAGCGCGAGATGGCTTTCTGCAGCTGCTCGCCCCACATCTTCCGGTTGGTGGTGCTGGGAAGGACAGAAAATGGCGTGTTGCAGCCGGCCCAGCCGGTTCTCCGGCCTGCGGAGGCCTCCAGCCCTCAGCCTGTGCCTGCCACACAAGCGACTCACGCTGTCCGCACGCCCTCACAGTGACGAGCCTGCATCCCGGCCCTGGACTGTTTTCCTGGCTGTGGCACACACATCACAGCACCCGCTCCCCGCCCTGCCGTCTGGAACCCAGCTCGGGACCGTCTCAAGAGCCCCAGAGTCGGGTTTTATGATTTGTTTGGAAAGCTCCTGGAATAAAGCCGCACCAGTTTAGGAAGAAAAGGTCTGGATGACTTTATACCCATGTGAATCCGTGATGGGGAGAGAGGTACCTCCTCCCACTCTCCTGCTCTCCCCTTTCCCCAGGAAAGGTGACTCAGCACCCTCCCGCGGGCCCTCCAGCCCCAGCCTCAGGCCACCCCCAGCCCACAGCAGGGTGCAGCAGCTCACAGGTACAGATGACCTGCCCTCTCCGTTCCCTTAGCAGAGAGGAGCAGGGGACGAGCAGCCAGCGGTCCCCCACAGAGGGGCACAGGCCGGCAGACTCAGACACAGATGGTGGCCCTGCACCTGGCTCGCAAACCTCGGAGTTTCATGCCACTCTGCTGCAGCCCTGGTGCCCGGCTGCTTACCTGGCATTGACGATGTTCCCCGCACTCAGTTCCACCATCTCTTCAAACCCCACGGCAAATATGTCAGCTGGGCTGCTGTCATCTGGGGGCAAAGCAGGAGATGCAGGGAATCAGACCCACCGGGGCCTGCGTTAGTTGCGTCGGGGGCACCACATTGGCCTGTGGGCACAGGTAGCCCACTGCCCAGGTGCACTCATCCAGACCACTGGGCGGAACTCCACATGAGCCCACCTCCCCTCCGGCTCCCACTGTGCACACGGCCCTTGCACCTCACAAGGTGGTCATGAAGCATCCAGCCCCCTCCCCCCCCCCGCCAGGTGTGTCCTAAGAGCCCAGACCTGTGGGGCCCTCCTCCCTCTTGGTAACTCCATGTGCATCACACCCAGCTCCTCAGCCAGCCCGTCACTGGGGGCAGGCTCTGTCCCACGCTTGTTTGCGTCCGCAAGTGCTTTCAGTGCAGGCCCAGCCTTCCCGGGAACAGCTGACCGAGGTGGTCCTGCCCAGGGGACGGTCATCCTGAGGGTCGGAGGAGGGAAAGCCCAGCCCGGCTGTGGGCAGGGGCCCGCTCTGATGAAATGTGCCACCGAGGTGCCTGGCTTACAGGAAGCACAACAGGCGGAGAGGTGTCGCTCGTGTGTCCCTGCGTCCCCTCTGCGCACCCTGTGACGGGAGCTCAGGGCTTCAGGCAGTCCCTGCAGCCACTGGTCATCGTCTCTCTAGTCACATCCTCTGACACACAGGGTCTGAGCTCCCAAGCCGAGCGTGGCGAGTACTGCAGCGAGGCCCCTCCCCCCTCCCCGCACCAGAAAGGCCTGGCTTCCTTTCCTGTGGGCTGCACAGGGCAGCCTGGGGCCCCGGGCTCAACTGGCATCGAGTTCCTTCTCCTCCTTTAAAGAGAAAACTGCTGTTCCTCCGACCTGCCTGGCAACAGTCAGCACCCCTCTCTCCTGACGTGGTGTTTCACTGGAGGCCTTGGTGAGCCCTCTAAGCCCCATTAAAACCCCCTGCAAAGTAAGAGCCGCTTGCTGTCAGCACCCACCCTGTGCCTGCAGACAACTGAAGAGCCATTTTAGCCAAAGGGGAGGGAAGTCTCTTTAGACCAGGTTGTGCTAATGTCGTCACACTTACAGGGCCTGCCGGGGGGAGGGGGCATTGAGAATGGTCACCACAGACACAAGAATCCCAGTGACCCCAAAGGCAGACTCAAGCCACTCTGCACCCCCAAGGCAGCAAGGGGCTGCACGCTGTGCCTGCCACCGCAGGGATGGGGCTCCGCTGACACAGAGGGGCACCCGCACAGGCCGGGAACTGATCACCAGTCTCTCCCAGAACCCAAGAAGCTGGAGGAAGCCAGGTCCCTGGGTAAACGCTGACTGCAGAAAATTCATCTGTCCTTCGAGTCCTGAGTCCTGAGGCCATTCCATATTACCTTGCACGATCTAAGACAAAAGGCGAGGCATCCGATTTGGAATGACGTCCTCCTTAAGAGGCACACGTATTTGTGACTTTAAGTGGCTGTGTCTGGAAATAGATGCTCTGGACTCCCCACAGGAACACGACTCTAGAAGCCGCCTCTTCCTCCTTAGACAAAAACTTCCAATGACCAGAATCCAAAACTACAAAATCTCTGTATGTGACGACAAAGGCGCCTCGGCATTGCTACCCGGTGCAGACCCCTGGAGAGGTGTCAGGCAGTGCACTTGCCAGCTGTGCTCTGGAAAGGCAGGCGGCCCCTGTGCTTTCTGGACCCTGAAGGGGAACACCGAACGCCACACTTCACACGCCAGCGCCACCGAAGGTCCAGCCCAGGGCTCGACGGAACCTGTGCCGTGTCGGCCGGAGCCGCTGCACTCACCCGGGGGCTCGGCTCCGGACGGCCTGGGCGAGTCCAGCAGCCAGTCTGCCAGCTCGGCCGTCCCCAGGAGGTTGCTCCTGAACTGCTTCCCTCCGTTCACGTTCCAGGTCCCCATGGCGATGCGGATCCGCTTGTAGCTCGTGAACTCCGACTGGCGCTCCCACATGGCTCTCAGGATCCGGGGAGTCACTGCGGGGAGGCACAGAGCCACGTTGGTCTGCGCCGCCCAAGCCCCTGCATCTTCCAGAAACAAGGACGGGGTCTCTGTCTGCAAAGGATGGGTGCCCATCCTGTAGTCATGAGCCCTCGTAGGAAGAGGTTAAAACCACCCTGAGCGGGACACGCCCCTGTGGCATTTCTGCCCGAGTCCCAGACTGAGTGGTCCCCTCAGCACCTGTTCTCACCCAGAGCCACAGAGACTGTGACTTCAGGCCACAGGAATCTCATCCTCAGCATTTACTCCACGACCCAGGGGGAATTTCAGCGAGAAGGCATTGCAACTAACCATGTTTTAAATAATAAAACTTTAAATATCTTACGCCCATGTGTCTTTCCCACCTTCCATCCGACATGCCTGAAATATCTTGTTTTACCTTAGATTCGAGCCTTTAAAAAGCCATAACCCTGGCCCTGGCCGATGTTGCTCAGTGGTTAAAGCATCAGCCCACAGACCAGAGTTGTGGGTTCAATCTCTGATCAAGGGTATACACTTCGGTCGTGGGTTCGATTTCCAGCCCTGGTCAGGGTCTTGCAGGAGGCAACCAATCCATGTGTCTCTCTCACATCGATGTTTCTCCCTCCCTCTCTCTCTTCCCCCCTCCCACTCTACCTAAAAATATCAATGGAAAAATATCCTGCCCTGGCCAGTTTGGCTCAGTGGTTGGAGCATCGGCCCGCGGACTGGAGAGTCCCGGGTTTGGTTCCACTAAGGGCACATACCTCAGTTGCAGTTTGTCCCTGCCCTGGTTGGGGTCGTGTAGGTGGCAACCACCCGATGTGTCTCTCTCTCACATGGATGTTTCTCTCTCTCTCTTCTTAAAAAAAAAAAAAAAAAATTCTCAGGTGAGGATTAAAAAAAAAAAAAAGCCATTACTCTGAACCAAGTCCATTCCTAGCTATCCAAAATATATTCCATTTTTCAAGCTAGTGACTTAACACAAATCTAAATCAAGTCTCCTTGCTGCCAGAGAAGACTGGCTGTGCCACTCGGAGCTCCTGTCAGCTCTCCCGGGCTCCCCCTCTCCAGGTAGACACACACCACCTGGGCCACAGGAAAGTCCCCCACGAAGAATGAAACCATTTTGAACATGGGCAAATACATTTTTTGAAAACAACAAAAATTCCTAAAACAACACTTACATTCTTATAAGGAAAAATTCCGCCTCCCCTTCTTCTCCTGTAATTTTACAGGCTCTAGGGGATGAGCTGCTATTAAAAATTTCCCCAAGAAACCTCCAGCTCACTCACCTGTGGAGCCTAATCCCCCAATCCCTACACACTCAGATACAGAGAACAGACTGGTGGCTGCCAAAGGCAGGGGGGTAAATGGGTAAAGGGTATAAATGGGTCAAAAGGTATAAAATAAGTCCTGGGGATGTAACGTACAGTATGGATAGTTAATGATACTGCATTGCACATTGAAAAGTTGCTAAGAGTAGATCTTAAAAGTTCTCATCACAAGAAAATAAATTTTTGTAACTGCGTATGGATGTTAACTAGACTTACTGTGGTGATTATGTCCCAATATACATACATATCAAATTATTGTTTTACACCTGAAACTAATACAATGTGTCAACTGTATCTCAATTTTTTGTTTAAGAGAAGCAACCTCTGGCTACTGACAGAATCATGACCATCTCAGCCCAAGAGTAATTGCTCCTCCCTCTTCCATTTCTACAGAGTCCTGGCGCCGGAACAGAGACGGGACACTGCCCTCATGGGAGGCTCCTGGGACAAAGGACATCTGCCAATGGGACCAAGACCCTTTCTGGGTGAGAACGAGCTTCTGGTGTGATTCAGCACTCACAGAGGGCCCTGGCCCGTTTGGCCCAGTGGCTGGAGCGTCGGCCCACGGACCCAAGAGTCATGGGTTTGATTCCGGTCAAGAGCACATACCTAGTTGCGGTTCGGTCCCTGGCCCAGGTTGGAGTTGTGCAGGAGGCGACTGATCAAGGTTTCTCTCTCTCTCTCTCCTTCTATCTGAAGATAAATGAGAAAAAAAAGTATCCTCAGGTAAGGATTTAAAAAAAAAAAAGGAGATGGACACGTCTAGAATGGCACTGACTTTTCTTGGCTGGGAAGCAGTCAAGGCCAGAAAGCACGGGCTCCCGGATATACAGCAGCAGCTGTATTGTACATATTTTCATTATACATGTATACATATATATTTTGATGTTTGACATCTTTCAAAACCTTTCTGGCTGATGAGATGCTGGCCCTCCTGGGGCCAGCCAATTCTTTTTTCTTTTTTAAATGACTATTTCTTTATCAAGGTAATACTATATGTTTCAGGTGTACAACACTGTAATTTGATATCTATATATACTGTGTACTCACCACCAAAAGTCTAGTTTCCATCTGTCTCCATATAATTGACCCCCTTTGCCATTCCCCTCCACCCCTCTGGTAACCACCATTCTGTTGCCTCTATTTATGAGTTTGTTTTGGTTTTGTTTCATTTGTTTGTTTATTTTATATTCCATAAAATAATAAGTGAAATAATATGATTTTGTCTTTTCCCATCTGACTTACTTCACCTAGTAAAAAACTCTCAAGAATAATCCATGTTGTTGCAAATGGCAATATCTCATCTTTTTTATGGCCGAGTAATATTCCACTGTAGATATGCCACATCTTTACCCATTCGTCTGTGGATGGACACTCAGGTTGTTTCCATACCTTGGCTATTGTGAAGAAGCTGAGAGCATATGTGTGAGATGAAACCTAACCAACCCAGGCCATGCCTGCTCTCTGTGGCCTGCACACCCCGGAGGCAATATCTCTCTGCCTCAACCATCCCAGGAGCAGGTACCAGCTAACTAGGGCCCATTCCTACTGTTCCAAAGTCCACTGGAACTGTGTACACTGGCCAATCCCAAACGGTTTGCCATGCTAGGCCTTTCCCACAGAGACCCCAACAAAGCTGTGGCCTTAGCGTTTCCCCGGCTCCCGCCTTCTGTCACATAGCCCTGTGTGCTGTACTCCTGCCCCCAATCTCTAGGACCTGTGCCTATAAAAACCGTTGTTCCCGAGCCTCTCCTCTGCCTCCTCTTGGCCGCACATGACTGACCATCTCATAAAAGGATCCGAAACACAGCTGCAAGCTGCTGAGGTCAGCTGGTCCGGCCGACGTCACAGCCTCGTGCAGAGCGCAGACACTCCCGTCTGCCACCCACCACCTGGGATTACATGCCGGGGTGGGAATGGATGGCCAGCACCCCCACACCCTCTACGTGGCAGGGCAGCTGGACACCCCAGGCAAGTGGAGAGGGCACCCCCATACCCAGCAGGGCCGTGTTTTCCAGAAGCATCCTCTCTTTGTCGGCAGACTCCTCCGTGTAGACGTCCCCGACCAGCAGCAGCTTGATGGCCTCCTGCTTCACCCCGTCGAAGAAGTTGGACTGGATGGTGCGAGACACGGACCGGGCCCCGTCCTTCAGCTTCCCCACCTGCCGCGGGCCAGACCACGGGTGGTGAGAGGGGTCCACGCAGGTCCCCACACTCCCCTCCTCCTCGGCCTGCCCCTACCTTGGCCTTCCCCTCCAGGGCCCGGCTGCCCGTGAACATCTTGCTCAGACTGTGCCCATTCAGGGACCACATGGCTTTGAAGGACTCCACAAAGCGGTCGGCGATGGGCTTTGAATTCAGCCCCAGGCTCCTGAGCTGCAGGTGAAGGACCTGGGTGGGGAGAAAGGGGCAGGGTCATCGGCTTCTCTCCATGAAGCTCCCCCACAGCTGCCTACACACATCAGCCCGTGGGCTCCTTATTCGGCCGATCGTGGGCCCTCTGCCCACTCCAGAGGACGAGGAACCCTTGCAGCAGAGAACGTGGCGTCCACTCCTACTGCCCCCATGTTCTCATCCCACTCAGCTCTCCTCTGACCCCCATCCTCCTGACCTCCCTGTCCCCACCACCAGAGGGCTGGACAGCAAGCCAGGGCAGGTGGCTTGGACCCACCACCTCCTGCACGCAGGGAGCCAGGAGAGATCACGCAGATGTACAGACAGATGGGACCTTTCCTCCGAGGCCTCGCCCAGCCTCATCGCACCAGCCTCCCACTGCCTGTGCCCAACAGCATGTTCTCAATCGTCCTTACCCAGAACTACTGTTCCCTGGGCACCTGGGCCACCACGTGGGAGATGCATGACAAGTATGCCTGTGACAGGTCAAAGGCAAGCCAGCTCCCCAGCAAAACCTCTCTCCAGAGCCTGGTACACCCCGTGCCAGTTCCCCAGTTAGAAAGTGAGTCCAGTGATGCCCTCATCTTGCCCTGGAAGGGCTCAGCCCAGCTGCCCCTGAAGGCACGGCCGTGCGCAGATGGCCCGGGGCGCCGTGGCAGGGACAGACCTCGAGCGCAACGAAGCTCTGCACCGTGTTGGTTCGGTCCAGGCAGTCGAGACAGTTCATCCGAAAAGCGCCTTTCTGGAAACTTCGGAAAACAAGAAATAAATGGTTACATGTTCTATCTGAAGGAGCACAGTAGCCTATGTTTGACGGTAGACCCCCCCCCCCCAAAACGCATGTCCCTCACACCTCCCTACTAGCTTACCAGGATTCACACCCTGATGGTTCCCAGCTGCGGGGGTGCAGGCGGCCCCGGGCACACACCCAGCAGCTGCCCACCTGGCCATTCTGCAGTCAGTGCTCTGATTCACAGCACGGCCTAGAAACCGCACCGTCAGCGCACGAGCGACGCGGAACCACTGCTGTGGGGGATACACTGGGCTGGGTTCCCACGAGCCTCTGGCCGCGCATCTCCATCAGCTAACCAGCACGTCACTTTGCTTGATGTGCGCTCTGGTTCAGGACACGCTGTTGGGTATACCTTGTTCACCCCTCACACTAAATTCACAGCCAACACTCTTACAGCTGGCTGGAGCTTCCCTAGCACACCTCTCTCCCCGCGGCACGTCACATCCTTCTTTTCCTGAGGGTCCCCAGCCAGCACTTGGAGCTATACGTGGGGGCCATTTTAAACAGTGAAATTGCCAACAAAACGCACAAAAATGTGAAAGCCTGGCACTAACGAGATGGCAGAAATTTACGGGACGAGAGGGGACAGGAAGGCAGCGCCCCGGGAACACGCACCCTAGGCAGCTCCCCCGCCGCGCGTGCCTGTGAAGGTGCGGGAGTGTGGGTTTCGGGGTCACACGGTTCAGCGAGTGAGCGCATGTGCAAATATGGAATCGGAATAATGAGGACCGACCTATTGTGACGTGAGGACATCGGCCGGCCTCCTCCTGCTCAGCTCTGAGCAGGGAAATCTCACCCCTGCTTTCCTGGGCGACACGGACTGTGCCCCTCACTCTCCGGGGTGCTCATCACGGTTCTGACAAGTTACACGGTTACCACGCTCCACATTTCAACCTCGTCCCCTTTCTTAGTAACTTCAACATGCTTTCCCGTCTACTCACAAAATTCAAAAGTATGTTCTGATTTCAGGAAGGAACCCCGACCCCACCCCGGCCTGGGCCCAGGAAGTGGCAAGCCCAGCGAGCGGCCGGAAGGCACACGCCCTGGACGGCCGGCCCTCCGCGACCCCGCCCCGCGGGAAGTGGGGGCGCAGGCGGAGACTCACCGTGGACTCACACCCGCGCCCTTGGCGAACACGTCGAAGTCCTCCCAGCGGCCGGAAGGCACACGCCCTGGACGGCCGGCCCTCCGCGACCCTGCCCCGCCCCGCGGGAAGTGGGGGCGCAGGCGGAGACTCACCGTGGACTCACACCCGCGCCCTTGGCGAACACGTCGAAGTCCTCCCAGTGCAGCTTCAGCTGGGGCCGCAGCAGGTGCCCGAACTTCTCTAGCTTCCCGCCTTTGGCAAACTGACGGAAGTCGAAGTTTATCATAGGTGTGTCGCCGGCGTGGCAAGAAGCCCAGAGCAACTTCTGAAAGGGGAGAGGGAGAGGGTGGCAGGGACCAGGGAAGGAAGACCGATGCAAAGCGCTCACAGCCGGGCTCCGAGTGGCTGAACCCAGCACCCCCTGGAGAGCAAGGGCTGGCTCTGCGCCGTGTGGGGGGCCCAGCGGTCCATCAGTCCTGACCCTGAAAGGGAAGCACAGAGCAGACCCGCCCACCCACCAAGAGCATCTTGCCTACAGAAGGTCCACTTTGGGCAAAAGATGGCCAGCTCTTGTGAGGCTCCCGGGGGAAGCCCTCAGCCCTGCTGTGACATCACCCCTCTGCAGGGCTCTCCGAGGGCACCGGTGAGGGGAGGGCCACTCCGTTCTTCAGGCACCCAAGTGCCACAGGCCTGAGGCACCGGGCAGCGCAGCAGGCTGGGAGCTCATAATCCAGCCCACGGTTGCCTGGTAACCAGCCCCATCCAGACAAGCACAAGCCTGCAGGTGGGTGTGCTCTGAAGTGGCTGAGGGTCCCGGGGGTCCCCTGGGTGCTCCTGGCACAGGCCTCTCTTGCACACAAGGAACCTCACCGGCCACTCCTCAGCTCTTTCCCCAGCCCCATGGAAAAGGAGACTGGGCCTCGGGCCTCCCCCGCTGCCCCTGTGGCCTCGGGGCAGACTTGTTCAGAGTGTCTAAGGACTTTGAAAGACTAGAAGGACTCCAGCTGTCTGCTCCCTGTGACTCAGAGCACTCCACCGTGGGCCGAGTGCAAACAACGCACTGCCGCCCTCGTCAGACAGTCTTGCTCTGAGGATGAAGTCAGCTGAACCGAACAGCAGTTGCTTGGTGGCTTTACGTTCTGGCCCCTCGGCCCCCGTGGCCTGATCACCACTGGGTCTCGGGCCAGCTGCAGGTGCACAGACACCCAGCCAGGTCTCCTGCAGGTGGAATGTCAGCCTCTTGCCTCCTACCTGGCCGGGAGCCTGCCCTCCTTGACCTGGGCCACAGGACTGCTGCCATCTCCTGTCCCTCTCGTGACAGAAGAGCCCATCAGCTCAGGAGGCGTCTCCACCAGCTGACAGGTCGCGGAGGACATCTTTTCCCCGTAACTCAAGGCATAAAGGGGAAAGAGACTCTCAGGTTCTTTATTTTCTTGCTCTCCCCCCTTCTTCTTCCTTAAAATAGATGCAATGCTGCTGCCAAGATGGGTGGAAGGGAGATATTTCTCAATCTTGTTGCTACGAGCAACAAACCAAACAGGAAAAGCAGGTCTGGCCAAATGAAACTGGCAACCGAATAGTCTGCTCCGAGCCTGAGCCCGTGGCTTTGCTGAGCAGCGTGCAGTGAGCACCCAGCTGGGTCCGGCTGCCATCAGCCAGGGCCGGGGGCAGGAGGCAGCCAACACCACTGCCTGTTCGGGGGGGCCCGACTTCAAACTCTCCACGAGGGGCTTCCCTGGTCCTGGAACAACCACAGGGCTCTTCTCCATTAATTGGAGGCCGTGGTGATTGGAAAAGGACTCTACAGGCACCCACAGCCCATTCTGGAGCTTTGCACGCGGTAGACCGAATACCTAGGGGAGCTCTGGGAACAGGAGACCAGGGCGGGAGTGGGGGAGCCTTTTGCTCCGACTGTTTCCTCCCATGTGCAGGGTTTCTCCCCATCCCCCAGACCCCGAGCAGAGAAGTCTCAGGGAGCCCCAGGCAGCCAGGCACAGGAAGCAGCTTTGAGGGGCAGCCCAAATACGGGTGCAAGGTCTGAAGGCTCCAAGTCAGCAGGAGGCACTCAGGTAAGATTCCTCGCCTTCACTGAGCCGGCCTGGAGCCCCTGCGCACGGGTGCCCTCGAAGTGCTGCGCGAGCCGGCCGGCCGCTGAGCCAGACCAGGGCGGGGAGCTCGGGCTGCCGAGCAGGTCGGGCGTGTGCAGGCGAAGCCCAGACATTCGTGTGCACATGCGTATGCACACGCGTGTGCACGTGCATATGCGTGTGTCCATCCAAGAGAGCCGAGGAAAGGCCTGCCTGTCCCGAGTCCCCAAGGCCCTGGGGAAAGCGCTGGAGGAAATGCAGCTGGAGATGGCAGATGCTCTGCTTTGACTTGGAGCAAATTCTCCCAGCCATCAGTCCATGGGAATTAAACTCCACACGTGTCAGGAGCCCAAATCCACCTAACGCTGGAGCTCTGGTGGGAAAAGCCTCCCCACACATGGTGAGGTCTGCATTCTTGTTTCCAGCCCTCCATGGGAGTCCGTCTCTGAGCAGGGGCCCCTTGTCCCCCGCCCCACACACCCCAAGGGAAGAAGTGGGCAGGGACCGCGTTACCTTGAAGGCTCGGTTGAGCACCTCCTCCCCGCCTCTGTTCCCCAGCAGGTTTACCACCACTTGCTTCCCGTACTGCTCCTTCAGAAGTACCATGTGCCTGCAGCAAGACCGGCAGCACCGTGACCCCGTGTCCCCCGGACGTAAACTGACCACCCGCCTTCCAGGGGAGAGGATGTGCAAGGGAACCGCTGGCCCGTGGACCAGGAGCCGCCCTGGGGGAAGGCTCTGGCCAGGGACACCCGCAGCACATCAGAAGGACTTTCCGTGAAGCACCCCATTCAATCTAGAACAGCTGAGGTGGCCCCTGATGAACAGAGCCTCACACACGCGACTGCAGATCCCTGAAATTAACCGACTGCACTGGGTGCCATCTGTCCTCCGAACCGGAAAACCCGGCAAACGCAGGAGGAGAGCAGCCAACCGCAGGGCCGCTTTGTTCTACGCTGCATTTCACGTGGTGACCCACACAAGAAGACACAACACAGCTCCGGTCTTCAGGAAAGTATCTGTGTGTCAGAGGCCATTTTCAAATACAGATGTTGAAGTACTAGGGAGAGAGTCTAATGTTTGTCTTTTATCACCAGCTTTTGAAAAGTAACTTTACGGTTTTCATGGTAGAAATGCTTAAATGTCGTGTTTTTAAAAAAAAGCATAGGAAGCCCTGGCCGGTTTGGCTCAGAGGTTCGCGCATCAGCCCTTGGACCAAAGAGTCGCGGGTTCGATTCTGGTCAAGGGCACGTACCTTGGCTGTGGTTCAATCCCCGGCTCTCTTTGGGGTCGTGTGGGAGGCAGCCAGTCAATGTGTGTCTCTCACATGGATGTTTCTCTCTCTCTCACCCTCCATCCCTCCCTCCCACTCTGTCTGAAAATCAATGGAAAAATATCCTTGGGTGAGGATTAAAAAAAAGTGTAGGAAAAAGACACAATGCAAAAAGCAGATGGAAAGCTAATTTAATGGGGCCAAGTTTACACCTAAATATAGAAAAAAGACCAGAAGATAACACACCATGATGCTAGAAGTGGTGGAATTTTATGTCATTTAAAACTCTTCTTTAAACATTTCATTATTTTCCAAATTTCTACAATAACATGTTTCTTTTATAAACAAATTTTTAAAGATGTTAATTATCACAAAATAATCATTTTTAACCCCAGGAGAGCAAAAAACAGTCTTACTAACTCCGAGGGGTAGCACTGCACAGAAGGATGTGATTCTGAAGTGGGACGTGCAGGTTTCTCCGCGGCTGAGTTTAGGGCTCCTTCCTGCCTTTCCAGGTCCTGGCCGCCCTCGCTGCAGCCTCCCCGCTCCCCCTCGGGGAAGACAGAGGGATGGATGGGACCCGAGATCAGGGCAGGCTGTGCTCACCCCTGGAGCTGTGCTCACTGCGCCCTGGGGGAGGCCGCCGGAGGAGATGGAGCATTCCTGGCAAGGCCCTTCTGGGCTCTTTGGGGTCTGCCTGCCGGAGGACGGGCACGCTGGCCCGAGGACTGATACGGGGACCCAACAGCAGGCTCTGCTCTGGCAGCTAGTCTGAGGTGCCCAGCACCGAGTGAGCACCTTTGATTCGAGGGTGCACTGTGAGGAAGCCCACGGTGGCCACACATCCAAGCCGTAACCAAGCCACAGTGCCTGGTCAGAGAGGCTGATGTCTGCTCTCCGAGTGACTGATGCCCACGCATACATCTCACGTGGTTCAAACTCCAAGGTCGGGAGAGAAACACTCATCACTGACGTCACCAGCCCCACACACCCCTGCATCCAATTGTCACCCCTCTGTGCTGCTGCCCTCACCTGACACAGGCCAGTCCTCCTGTGAGGAGTGGTCATGAGGACTAAAAGCCGAGTGACAGACACGTCCCGTGCTCAGCACATGGGAGTTGGTTTTCCTTTCCTTCCTTTTGATTCAAAAAGAAGACGGGACACATAATATTGATACATTAAAAGACGTCACTGGCTCTAAGGGACAGAGTCCGGGAGGTCCGCGGGAGGAAGATGCATCCTGGCCTCGGCGGCTTTGCATTTAGGGTCTTTTTTCTGCACACCCACTGCTGTCAGGTGGACTCCTTGGAAAATAGGGTTTTCCTGGACCCTGAGGAGTCAGACTTCCATCTGATCCTTCTCAAATTCAGGGCATGACTGACCGACCAACAGTTTGACCGACCCTGATGTCCAGACACAAGCAGTGACTTCACACACACACACACGATGTAAAAACCTTTAAGTCTATGTAAATGTTCTTAATTTGTAAAAGGCTCATGAAGACATGAAGGTTTGTGAAACAAGCCTTCATGGTCCTTCCCTTTTGCCTCTGGCTGGCTCAGAGAATTTCAGTTTTGGTTATATGTTGACTATTTCCTATGGACATTTAATGTAGACCAGTGTCCCCTGAAAGAGGTCCATGTGTACCGTGCGCAGAGCACAGTCATGGTGTGCAGAAGGCGACGGCATGTTCCCTGCTGGGTATGCACCCCTCCCAGAAAGGCCGCCGTCCGTGCTAACGAGGGGTCGCAGCCGGGCCGCGTTCCCGTCTACGGTCAATGAGACAGACGGCTTCAGGTTCAGTGATTACAACATTTACAAAATTACTTTGTAAAATTTTATGACATTCACTATGAGAATTTTTAAACTTAGTATTTAGATTTAAAAGGCAGATTGTTTTAGGAAGCTATTAACTATTCAAATTCAAATTATTACTTGAAGTTTCAGATTAAAGTTACAAAACCTTTAGTGTGTTATGGTCCGATTTGTATTTTAAAACATGAACTATGTCTACGTCCATTTTTTTCTGGAATGATACATAAAAACTCATAGAATCTCTAGTAGTGGGAATTGGGAGTTAGGGTACTTTTCCTTCTCACTTTATACTTTTCTATGTGGTGACTTTTTGTTGTTGTTGTTAATGCTCACCTGAGGATATTTTTTCCATTGACTTTCTTTTTTATTCATTTATTTTTGTTACAGATGCGCCCCCCCCCCACCCCACCCCACCGCAGAAACTCTCCTCCCTATCCCGCCCCCACCTCCAGCATTGTTGTCTGTGTCCATTGGTTACGCTTACATGCATATAAGTTCTTTGGTTTATCTCAATCCTTTTCAGAGAGAGTGGAAAGGAGGAAGAGGGGAGGAGGAGGAGAGAGACACATTGAAGTGAGAGGGACACGTCAACTGGTCACTTCCCACATGGGCCCGACCGGGGCCAGGGATTGAACCTGCCACCCCTCGGTGCCCAGGCTGATGCTCGAAACACTGAGCAACGTGGGCTCTATGTGGTGACATTTAAAACCTGGGAACATATTACTTTTAAAACAAAAAGATCTCTTATCCTTTGACATGACATAAAGGGATCTGGAGAGTATTAGACTAAGTGAAATAAGCCAATCAGAGAAAGACAAATATCACATGATTTCACTTATTTGTGGAATATAATGAACAAAACAAGCTGATGAACAAAATAGACCCAGAGACATAGAACTAGGGTACAGACTGACAACCCTCAGAAGAGGGGGGGTGGCGGGAGGGAAGAGATAAACCACAGAACTTTTATGTATGTGTGCGTAACCATGGACATAGACAACAATGCTGGGGGGAGGGGCAGGGTCGGGAGGAGGGTGTCAATGGGGGAAAAAGGAGAAACATCTATAACAAAAATAAATAAAATTAAAAAAATAAATAAAATTTAAAAAATAAATAAAACAAAAACAAACAGCTGCACGTATCCTATTATTCAGATAATCCCTTATTAATCAGGACGAATGGATAAAGCTTCATTGCAGACGGAACTGATAAGATAAAATAATTCCACAGGTCACCTGAGCATTTATTACTGAGCCTTCAGGGAAACCTGAGCGCAGGAAAAAATATCTCATTTTGGAAACTCCTTTGGCATAAAGGACCAAAGCAAAGGGCCAAGTTAGATCCAGGGCGTGGGGCCCTCCCCTTCCCACTGAGCCTGTGCCGCTGCGTGACGGGGGGAAGATCCCTAAGGATGACGGGCAGGACGAAGGCAATGGCCTTACCTGTCAAAAGCAGGGGCGTTGGCTTCTAGGCCTCTGTTGAGTCTCAGATGATGGGAGCCAACCTGAAACAAAGACGTTACACCAGTGACCCTGCCGCTCTGCGAACCCAGCCAGCCAGGCCTGGAGCGCCCCTCCCAGCTCCGGGAGGCCAGGCCTGGAACTCAGGTCCTCCAGCCGGAGCCGGGCTCTGCTTTGACCCAGTCGGAGCTGCACATGGACCATGCCACTGAAATTCTTCCCCAGACAGAAGAGCAACTCCAGCGTGAGACCGGAAGGCCGGCGTGAGACCCAGACTCCCCCGTGGAGAGAGGTCCACCTAAGCCAATGGGAGAGAAACCACGGACCCAGCATCCTCTGCAACATGGGGCCCTCGACAGTCCCTAAAACTTGAGTTATAACTACCTGCAAACTAATGTGCCTTATTATTTAGAACTCACCCACTAAACGTTGGAAATTTAAAAAACAAACTTGAAACTACATAGGAAGGCTCTCTTAACAAATCTGGGACAGTTTGCGCACTGAACTGTGTAAGGACGGTCACGGTTGGTGAGCTGAAGAGTAAAATGGGATCCATGAATCTATACAGATGAGAGCTCGCTGGGTGGGGTGGACTGAGGGACCCCGGCCCGGAGGGGATGAGTGCCGTGACGGACATTCCTGAGACAAGGGACAAATCCGGAATGCGGCCCACAGATTAGATCAAGGTGTGTGTCCACGTTACATTCCCTGGGTGTGCACCTGCACTGCGCACCTGCACTGAGGTGGCGTGAGAGTCTCTGCTCTCAGGAGAGACGTCTGACATAACAAGTGAAGAGACACGAGCTACGCAACCTCTCCCAGTGGCTCAGAAAAGAACCAACGGCACGTGTGTGCGGCGAGACGGGGAGCTAGTGAATCTGGGTAAAGGATGTGGTGGTTCTGCTGCTCTTCCAACGGGGCTGTAGGTCTGAAGTTATTTCAAGAGAACAAGTTTCTTAGAACAGTCCAGCCGGTGTGGCTCCCTGGTTGAGTGTCGACCCATGCACCAAGAGATCGCTGGTTCGATTCCTGGTCCAGGCACATGCCCGGGTTGTGAGCCCAATCCTCAGTGGGGGGCATGCAGGAGGCAGCCAATCGATGTTCTCTCTCATCAATGTTTCTCTCTCTCTCCCCCTCGCCCTTCCTCTCTCTGTCAAATCAATGAAAAAACAAAGTTTCTTAGAATGTACTGTTTAGTCTTGGTTGTTGCTGGGCCTTATGAAAGTGGTGGCATTAGAGCCACCCGTGCGGTCAGAGTATAAACATGTACCGAGGCTCCTGGCCGCGCAGGGGCCACCCGTCCCTCTCTGCGCTTGAGGAGGGCACCCCCCAGACACCGGCTGCTCAGCAGCAGGTCCAGAGGAGACCGGGCTTGGGCTTGTCCGTGGGAATGAGTCTACAAATAAAGCCCCGCACCCCTTTCGGTCCCGAGAAACCCCGGGGGCTGCGAGGAAAGGCTCCCCCCGAGGCCCTCTCTTGTGGCTGTGTTCCCTCTGCCCCCTTCCCGGAGAGGAAATGAGACTCGGCTCCAAACCTCTCCCAGTCTGAGAAGGCTGCTTGGCCTGCACCCAGGCGGGTCGGATCCTGGCTCGTTCCTGGATTTACAAGGAAGGTGCTTGTGGGAAGCAGGTCTGTGTTCCCCTCAGCGACCCGCTGAGACCCCTGAGGGCTGAAACCCCAGAGCAGGGGCTGGCTCTGCATCGGTCTCCCAGGAGTCTCCCAATTCGGGGACACTGCGGCTGCTTTTAGAATCGTTCCCATGGGAACCAGTAAGGGGAGGAGAGAAAGACGAGGGCTGGGGCCAGAGGCCTGGAGCTGAGTTGGGAGAGTTTTATTACCGGACATGTTAACAGCCCAACATTTCTTCTCCTACAGAGGTAGACTTTTCAGTCATGGGTGACTGGACCCAGGAGTGTCTGATGTCTGGGCTCAAAATTCCTCCCATAATAGAAATGATCTGAATCCCATTACAAATTTTGTAACCAGTCCAGTACGGAGTTAGTGAGCACGCCGACACCCAGATCAACACGGCTCTGGGGACCACGGAAAGACTGTGGGAAGAAGGAGATTCTGAATTCCCTGACCGAGACCACCACCCTCCCACCCCCGCAGCTGGGATCTCCACGGAAAGACAGACCTAGAAACACACTTTCAGGTTATTAACAAGTCTGCTTAACAAGAGCAAATTAATGTGATGGAAACTGTGCCCCTACGTACTGAGAATAAGCAGTGTCGCAGGGCAGCGGGCCCAGGGACGGTGGCCAGCAGGGAGCAGCAGCCCACAGCAGGAGGGCACGGTCCCCCGGGCCAGACAATGCCCCTCTGATGCCGCTGGCTTCCTCTCCTGACTTTCACACCCATCGCTGTGGACAGGGCCAGGCAGGACTGTGCTAGGCGTGTTCTGTCCACGCAGCAGTTAGTCCAAGGTCACTGCTGACCACCTAGGAACACTAAGGAGTCAAGGGCCCTGCCTAGGGAATGACGAGGGCAGAAAAGACCCCGACGCCAGCAGTTGTAAGTGTGGTCCCTGAACCTGCAGCATCAGCAGACCCCAGAATGCTTGTTAGGAAATGCAAATTCTGCCCTGGCTGGTTTGGCTCAGCAGTTAGAGTGGACCAGAGAGTCCCGGGTTCAGTTCCCGCTAAGGGCGCATACCTGGGCTGCAGTTTGTCCCCGGCCTGGTTGGGTGGCAACCACTCGATGTGTCTCTCTCACGTCAATGCTTCTCTCTCTCTCTTCCCTCCTTTCTCCCTCCCACTCTATCTGAAGATAAATGCAAAAATGTCCTTGGGCGAGGATAAAAAAATAATTAGCCCTGGCCAGTTTGGCTCAGCGGTTAGAGCGTCGGCCTACGGTCCAGAAAGACCTAGGTTTGGTTCCCGCTAAGGGCATGTACCTCGGTTGCACTTTGTCCCTGGCCCTGGTTGGGTCATGCGGAGGCAGCCATTCGATGTGTCCCTTTCACATCGATGTTTCTCTCTCTCTTCCTCTCTCTCCCTCCCACTCTATCTGAACAAAAAATAGAAAAATGTCCTTGGGTGAGGATAAGAAAAATAATAATAATTAAAAAAAAAAAAGAAAGAAAATGCAAATTCTTAGGTCCCACCTCCACTGACTGAAAGAAAATCTCGGGGGGGCGGGCAGGAATCTGACTGCACACGTCTAGGCGAGTCCTGCCTGTGCACACGTCTGTGCACACACAGCAGGCAGGTCTGAGACGCGGGTTTCATTCATCTTCCTCCCCCGGCCCCTTTCAGCTCAGGTTGCAAATGCCTGGGAGGGGTGGGGGACGAAATGAGCAGCTGGGGGCGCTGGGGGAGGCCGCATCCACGCCTGCACAGCCACAGGGCACTGTGACCAGGCCCAGCCTGCCCCTGCCCACAGCTGCTTCCTCGGGCATCACGCCCAGCTGCGCTCACCCGCCTCCTAAGCGGACAGGCCTTGGACGTTCTCAGGTCACCCTCCCTCCATCCGCCCTTCGGCTTCGTTGCCTTAGGACTCCGGTCCTGCCTCCCCCACCCTGCCTCCTCCTCCACCCCCTCTGACGCTGACCCGCTCTGCCCTCTGTGTGTCACCTAGTCCAGAGGCCACACTGTGTCAGAAGCCTCGAGGAGGAGCTTCCGTCGGGGGCTGGAATGAAGCCACTGTTGGCACCACACTGGGACTGACTGCGATGCTTTGTGTGGCCTCCTCCCCTGGCCAGGTGGACACTTGGACAACCACTCCCGTCTGAAGTCGTCGGTTCAGTCCCACAGACCACAGACCTGGGGGCGGTGGCCATGAGAATAACCGGAGTCTCCAGGAAGCCTGGCTGTGTGAGTCGGAATCACAGAGGGCTCCCACCGCCCTCCCCTGGGTAAGGCTGCCAGCACCCCACCTGGATCCCTGCACCTGTCCCACCTGGTGTCTTCACCGTCAGCCTTCTCCCCCCAAACTGACCGACTACGCTTCCGTCTGACCAGGTCACCCGGCCCTGGGACCCTTCAGTGCGCGTCCGGGTGCTGGAGCCAACGGCTGCCAGTCACAGACCCATTGGGTACAGATCTCTTCCCAACTCCACCTTCAGGGACTTCCAGCTGGTGGCTTGAAACCGGCCACGGTGGGGGTATTTGCACCACAGTGTCTACCAGTCTTCAAGTTGCCCAGGTGATTCTCATGTACAGCGAAGTTCGGGCGCCTCTCCCCCAGCAGCTCCCGCGGTGTGACCTCCCAGCAGAACGCACCGCCTGTCTTGTCTGGCCCTTGCCTGCCTCTCCAGGCTCACCTCCCGCCATGCCCACTGCCTAGGACTGCAGGCAGCCAGACCAGAATGCTCCTCTCCTTCCCGGTCTCGGGTTCCGTGTGCACCCGCTGTTCTCCCCAAGGCCCGCCTCCTTGCCTGGAGATTCTGCCCCGTCCTTCCCAAGTCAGCTCAGAACCCCTGCCCTCAGCCGGCTCTGTGCACACAACCCTGTCATTGCTGTCCCTGCCCTCCGGAGGCTGTATCTGATGCCGGGGACTTGGCCTCATGCGTCCACGGATGCTTAGTGAGGGTCTGTGGGACGAATAAGCAGCTTACTCTGGGGTGTCTGTGAGGGCGGAGAGATGGGACAGCCTAGAAGACTGGTTCTTGCGCTGCACATGACAGAGATATGACGGTCTCGACACCTCACAGTGTCCTCGTGGAGACGTAGAGGGAATCTCACCCCCCTCGGATGCAAAAGGTCTTGCTTCTCCTAACGCAGCTTGAGGTTCTGTCTCCTGACGCCGTGGCTCATGGGGTGATGACAGCTGCCGTTCTCGGTGCTCCCTGGGTTCTAGATTCTGCGCTGGATTCTAACCTACGCTCTGGTATTTACTCCCCTCCATAACCCTCCGGCCGGCATTGTCAACCCCACTTCACAGAGGAGGAAACCGAGGCGCCGCAAAAATAACCTCACTTTTCTGGAGCCAAGAACTTCTGGTTTGAAATGAGAACATTAAAAAAAATCTTTTATCTAAGTACATTTTTGAGAAACTTTTTTTTGAGATGAGACCTTTTCAAAAGTATATGGTTCCCATGGACAGAGACAACAGTGTGGTGGTGACCAGAAGGAAGGGGCCTGGGGGAGGCAGAAGGAGGTGAAGGGGAGCCCTGGCCGGTTTGGCTCAGTGGTTAGAGCATCGGCCTGCGGTCCTGAGAGACCCGGGTTCGGTTCCCGCTAAGGGCATGTACCTCAGTTGCAGTTTGTCCCCGGACCTGGTTGGTTGTGCGGGTGGCAGCCACTCAATGTGTCCCTTCACGTCGATGTTTCTCTCTCTCTCTCCCTCCCACTCTATCTGAACAAAAAATGGAAAAATGTCCTCGGGTGAGGATAAAAAAAAAAAAAATGGTGACGGAAGGAGCCCTGACTTGGGAAGGTAAACACACAACACGATATACAGATGATGTGTTGTGAATTGTATACCTGAAACCTGTATAATCTGATTAACCAATGTCATCCCAATAAATTCAATATAAAAAGTGTATGGATCCAAGTGGGAGAATCAGAACTTGAACTAGAACCCAGGTGAGTATAACTTCAAAGTCTGGACTGTCAATCACATGATAAGCGACCTCGTTTCTGGGGCCGTGGCTTTAAGCTCAGGGACTCTGCGCAAGACCATGGACAAAGTGCACATGCGGCGGATCTCGCTTCGTTCGTTTTCACTGCGAGCCCTTCTGCCCTCATCCCAACCTCTGCATTAGCTCCGAAACCCTTGTGCCACAGGCCATCTCACACCTGGGAACCGAGGTGTAACCACACCAGTGAGCACACGCGGCACAAGGCATCCGAGAGCTCCGCCAACAGCCTTTGACGGGGAGGAGGACGCGGGCGGGTGGGAGCTGCAGGGAAGCTGATCCCCTCTGTGTCTCCTCCAGCTGGCTCAGCACAGCAGGGTCAGCACACAGACTACGTCACCTCTGCAAGACATGGTCTGCACACGCATGTCACGTGGGCGGGAGGATCCCGGTGACTTCGACAGACTAACAGTATATAAACCACGTAATTGCCCAGCCGGTGTGGCTCAGTGGACTGAGCGTCGTCCCCTGGACTGAGAGGTCCCATTTCGATTTCAGGTCAGGGCACATGCCTGGGTTTCGGGCTTGATCCCCAGTAGGGGGTGTGCAGGAGGCAGCCGATCCATGTTTCTCTCTCACATTGATGTTTCTATCTCTCTCTACCTTCCTCTCTCTAAAAAATAAAAACATTTAAAAAAATAAAATTAAAAAAAATATATATATATATACTCTATAACTAACTATACCAGGAGAGCCATTAACCTTTAGGGTAAAATGTCAGTGTGGCTATTTATAAGCTGTTCAACCTACTGACATGGTGAAGATGAACCTGTTCAAGGTACAGGTCGCTAGAAATGGTTCAGGATCTAGGAGTTTCTAAAAAAGATACCATTCCAGTGAAAAGTCGCAAACAAATAATTACCCCACAGTCCTCTCTGCCTAGCTCCATCCCACACCCCGCCCGCCCCCTCCCACAAGGTTCATAGGTTCCCTGGGGCAGCCCAATGGCGGCAACACTGCCACTTAAAATGCAAGCTACCCCTCTAAAAATGTTTGCGCTTTTTTTTTTTAATCCTCACCCGAGGACATTTTTCCATTTTTTGTTCAGGTAGAGTGGGAGGGAGAGAGAGGAACAGAGAGAGAGAGAAACATCGATGCGAAAGGAACACATCGAGTGGCTGCCACCCGCACGACCAACCAGGGCCAGGGACAAACTGCAACTGAGGTACGTGCCCTTAGCGGGAACCGAACCCGGGTCTCTCCAGACCGCAGACCGACGCTCTAACCGCTGAGCCAAACCGGCCAGGACTACGCTCTTTTTTTTTATCCTCACCCAGGGATATTTTTCTATTTATCTTCAGAGAGAGTGGGAGGGGGGGAGAGAGAGAGAAACATCGACGTGAGAGAGACACATCGACTGGTTGCCTCCTGCACGACACAGACCAGGACCGGGGACAAACTGCAACCGAGGTATGAGCCCTTGGCCAGAATCGAACCCGCAACTCACTGGTCCATGGGCCGATGCTCTAACCACGGAGCAAACCTGGCCAGGGCTGCACCTTTAATATCACCTAAATGAAGAGGAAGGGGAAAAGTTCAAAATGGAGAAAAACAACCAGAATCAGTCCCCAGGCTTGCTGTTTGCGTAAGTTCAGAGAGACCACAGACCACCCCTGGGAACTGCCCTGCTGGTCCCGGGGGAGACGGCCAGTTTCTCTCTGACGATGGCCGGGACTTAGAGGATACACTTGGGTATTAGACGCCAAGGTTAGCGAATCCTTAGTAAGACTGGTGAACCCAGAGCCTTTTGGATGTACTGCGGAGGCATCAGAGGTCTGGGCAAGCACCAGCGTTGTGATCGGAAAGGTGCCACAGGGCGACCGCAGGGCACCGGGCTCCGCTGGTACTGCCGGACCAGGGACAGCTGTCCACGGCAGGGTCAGGCTGCGGGGGGAGCGGACTGGAGACCAGAGTCAAAGAGGGAACGACAAACGAGTTCTGCTGTGTTTCTGGAAGAGAGAGACCAGAACACGGGGAGTCTGAGGCACACGAGGGAGGACGGCCCCAGGAGCCGGAGGCCGGAAGAGCCAGACCTGCCCGGGCTGTATCGCCTGACGGACGGCATGCCCTGCAGGACGGGCCCGCCGACCATCGCAGCTGCCCCACATCCCGGCCGCCAGCTCAGCATCTGGAGCTCAGCCCCGGAACCTGGGAGAGGGACCCCTGACTGGGCGAAAGGGACGACACTCACAGTGTCCTTCCCAAAGGCGGAGACGCAATCTCGACGACCCTCCAGTCTGTGGGTCTCCTAGCGTGGCCTCCCTTTCCCTTCTGCAGGCTACTCATGTGGTCTTTGCTGTTTATCCTTCTGAACACAGAGCTCCAGGAGTGTCAGAAGGACATCTCCAAATCGAAAGAAAAGTAAGTGTCAGACCCCTACCTTCTGGTCCGGAAGGGGCCAATCTAGAGAGACAGAAAGTAGGCTGGCAGCTGCCTAGGCCTCAGGGAGGGCTGAGATGGTACCGAAGCTTTTCCCCTCACAGAACTCAGAGCCCGGATGAGACGCTCATCCACCCACGAGGTCAAGCCAAGGGCCGGGTGAGACCCAGCGTGTCAAACACCCCCAAGAACCTGGAAGGTGGCCTGAGTCTCTCCAGTCACCGGCTGACGACCTGACCACGGTCACTCTGGGCTTGAAGTAAGGAGAGCCAAAGGGACAGAGGCCAGGCAGAGCGGTCTGCTGAGCAAATGTCCCCTCAGGCCAGAGAGGAGGATCCTGACAGGTGCTAAGGAATCTCAAGCCGCCCCCCCCCCCCTCACTGAATGAGGCACTGCCGTCCATTGACGACAAATGTGTTCCTGGAACACAGCGCCCCCCACACCCAACTCTTCCAGGAGACAACACCAAATACCCTGGCCCTGCCGGAGCCCAGTTCTGGGTGGCAGGGGTATTTTTAGAAACCATGGAACGCTCTGTGCAATTCTCACAGCCTCCCGGCAGGCACCTCCCAACCCCAGGCCTGCTGCCCCGCCCCAGGGCCTTACAAAGCCCCTAGGACAGCCACACTCTCCAAAAACATCTTTAACCACGTTCCCAATAGTCTGAATCTGGGGTCTCACTTAAGATGATTCTATTCAATTATACTTCGTGGTTCGCTTATCAACAAAGACCTTCCCTGTTCAGTTGCATCAAGAATGAGCTCAGATAGGAAAATGACACACAGTGTATGTTTCTGCTCGCGCACACACACTCACATACACACACACGCACACACATGCGTGCTTTCATTCGCACTCTGACAGCCCAGCTCGATCCACCTGCGCTCTGGGAAGAGACCAGAAACTGCCATGAAGAACACGGTTAAGATAACAAGCCACCTCCGTGGAGGAGAGAAGGGAGGGGGGTGAACAACAACACACGTGCATGTACGTTTTTATTACCTACCTGAAGCCCTGGTTGCTCCCAAAACAGTGGAACGGAGCCTCTGATCTGGACAAAAGACGACACGCCATCATCCATGTAAATCGTCTGCACCACAAGGAAACACAAAGGGAAGTGTTCCTCAGTGAAACCGAATGTCCTGGGCCGGTAACTGGATCTGGCCGCCTGAGACCCGATACCGGAACGAAGGGCAGACAGCGGACTTCAGGCCCTGGGCTCCCCTGCCCAGTGGGGCCGTGCGGCTCCCTGACCCCCCAGACTGGCCAGCGCACTCGCGGGCACGCTGGCTGCCGACCAGCCTCTGGAATCTGGAGCAGGGCCGCCCGGGTCTGTGTGGCTGGTGGCACTCCCACAACCTTGCCCAGCTCCCTGCAAAGCCCCAACGTGCCCCCGCCCTTTTCAGGAACAGAAGCAAATGTGCACGGAGATTTAACCGAGACCGTCTGCAGAGCCCTCTGTTTTCACTTTGTCCACGAGTGAAGTGGCAGAGGCCACTGGGAAAGGGCTGAATGCATGAAGTAAACAAGCTGTTGCCAAAGGCGCGGTCGAGGGCCCTTGTCCGTCCTGTACTTGACAATGCAAGTCAAGACTACTTGAACTTGTAGTCGGCCCTGGCCGCGCGCCACCGTGTCCTTCAGCAGGCCACTCACTGGGTCGGCACACGCAGCCGGCCGCCACGAGCTCGCAGTGCGACGGGTCTGCACAGAAACAGATGCCCGCACGTTACAGAGCACAGCCCCCACCGGCCACCCCGGCCGTTCCAGTGAACCAGCTCCTCGTCTGACTTCAGCTCCCAGTGACATGGTCATGCAGGGGAGTCTGAAAGGACAAACAGTATAGGCCTGCGTGTCACGAGGGGAGGCTGTGGCGGTTCTCAGATGAACTGCCCTTTATCTGGGTAACTCTACCTGGCCTGGGCGATGCTTCTGGTCCTTTCCACTTCTCACCAGCCTGCTCCCTTACAGGGCAGCTTTCCATGGGCTAGATCACGCTCAGATCACACATGCATTAGTCATTCTGCAGCAGAGGGCCTGAACATTAGACCGCAGGCTCCCTGGACTCAGGAAGGACACGCGCCGGGAGCGGTGTTGTGGGGCTGACATTCCAGCCCTTCATCTCCAAAGGGGAGAAGCGCTGGGCTAGCAACTTGCTGTCTGTGTCCAGATACTGGCCACCAGCAAACCGGCGACCCTCCATCATTCTGCCGATGAGAAAGGAGTCAAGTTGCAGGTCGTTTCGACGACTGCAGGCAGAACTGGCCAGAGACCGAGGGCAAACCGCTGAGCTGCACGGACAGGGATGCTGAGAAAGGAACCACTCGGCCAGCATTTCTCTGTGAGGACAACTGTTAACCGTGCCCCGGGTCTGATTCAAGCCACAAAACAATTGCCCTTCACTTACTGAACACGGGCCCACACACCAATGCCCACGTCAGACCTCGCTCCTCCTGAGCGGGACCTGTGGGGAACCAGCATTCCGGCCCCCACCCCTGGGGCAAGAAGAGATGCCTCCAGATTCTCTATTCCTCCCTCCCACATGAGAATATTCTGGTTCTTTTTTTTTTTTTATCCTCACCTGAGGTCATTTTTTCGTCTTTTGTTCAGATAGAGCAGGAGGAAGAGAGAGAGAGAGAAACATCGACGTGAAAGGGACACATCGAGTGGCTGCCACCCGCACAACCCAACCAGGGCCGGGGACAAACTGCAACCGAAGTACATGCCCTTAGCGGGAACCAAACCCAGGTCTCTCTGGACCGCAGGCCGACACTCTAACCGCTGAGCCAAACTGGCCAGGGCGAGAATATTCTAGTTCTGTGTCCCACCCTCTTACCAGGACCACCTTCTTTGCCCTGAGGGGCTAGGGCAACACAGATTGTGGGACAGCCATGATGGGACCACAGTGCCTTCCCTTCTGGGAGAACAGGGGTTTAGCCAGTGGAAGACGGGACGTCCCACAGCTGTAATTCTAACAGGGCAGTGGGGCCCTGGGGGAGGGGAGGCAGGATGTGGGCCCTGGGACACCAACCTGTTCCCACTCCCCTTTGCCCAGAAGGATGACACTGGGAACACTGCTTAACCAGGTGTGGCCTCGGTTTCCCTCTCGGTCACCTGGTCACAGGGGGAGCAGTCATTCAGGAAGTGCACTCTCTCCAGGAAAGTGCCACCCCTGAGCGTGCACAGGCCCCGCAGCGGGTGGAGAGAGGCTGGGGGACAGGGTTTAGGCCGTGAAGAGAGGGCCGTAGCAGGGGACAGAGGGGAGGTGGAGGGAGACGCAGAGCAGCGGTGTTTCAGGAAGGAGGGTGTTCGCCATGGCTGTGCGGTGGCCAGGCCAGGCCCGGGAGCCCCGGGACCTCCGAGAGGCCCTTCCCCAGCGCACTGGGAGCAGAACCCCAGTACCGCGGAGGGAAGACTCCTGACTGGGTATACACACTCGTACCCAACAGGCTTTTCGCCAAACTTCTACTTCTGGATGAGGTGTTTACAACCCAATTCTTTCTAAGTCTGCATTCCTGGGGGGTCCCGCAGTCACCGAACCTCCCTGGATTAGTCAGGGGCCTCATCTTCAGGAGCCAAACATTCACCTTTTGTTTTCGTTTGTTAGGTGGGCCGAGGGGACTGTCTGCATGGTGAGTCACGGTGGCAGAGCAAGCCCACCAGGTGTGACTCAGCTCCCTTCTGGAAAGACTGAGATGCCACGTACGCCTGCACGTACACGTGCACACACACACCCCGGGAACATCACACCCACTCGCCACACACGGGCGCGCACACACACACATACAGCTTGCCTCAGAGGACAAAGGTCGCTGCTTTCTCTGGGAGAAAACGTCAAAGCAAGTCGGAAGTGGGCGGTGTGGACACCCCTCCCTTTGCTGCGCCCCCAGCACTGCCTACAGAAGCCCGGCTGCTCTCTGTCTAGTTCCACGTGTTGCAGAACGAGGCCGGGAGGGGGCAATCCGTCAGCCACCGACCTGCACTTACACAGGGCATCCGCTCCCAGTGGCTGAGGGCTAGCCTGAGGGGTCGCGTTGCCCCAGCAGGGGGCCCAGCCAGAGGTGACCTGCGGGCTGAGCTGTCCCAGCTGAGGCTCCCTCCTGCTCTGGGTCAGCACCAGTTTCCTGAGACCGACCTGCCATGTGCAGGAGACCGAGTTTCAAAGGCTGCCGTTCCTTCGAATGCCGGGGCACGGGGCAGGCAGCAGCGTGCTCCTGATGCACCCCGACCCGAGCCCAGGGTGCTAGCCAGTCTGCTCCTCCACCACAAGCACAGCGGCAGAGGGCACACCCTGCCCGGACGCCCTCTGGGCCCGGGGACTGGCTCACAGTCGTGGCTGCACAAACTCGAAGGAGCAGGACGTGCCGGGTTCCCGTGATGCCATCGGTCACCGCAGCCTGGACGGGCGAACCTGGACGGGGTCCCGGCAGGCTTCTCTCCCGCTTACTGTGCGTCCACGCTCCCCGGAGCTTTGAGCCCGGCCGGCGCCTGCAGGCAGAGCGTGCTCCCCAGGTCCGCTCCCTGACTCAGGGACGCTGGGAAGTGTCTATTCCCCTTAGGGGCACCTGAACTGCCACAAAACCACGCCGCGGTTCGGACGGGCACGTGGCACTCCTGCACGGTGAGGGGGTGGCGGCCTGCGGTGCGCACTCCTGGAGTGGGCTTCGGGGAGGGCTGCCCCCTGGGCTGCGCTCGGTCCCACGTGTCCACCCACGTCCGTCATCAGGACGCTTTCCAAAGGAAGCTCACGCCTGCACCCTCTGCTGTGTTCCAGTTGTGGCTTCCTCGCCCTCCCACTTGCCCCCAGGCACCTCCCCTCCAGCACGCAGCCCCGTCCTGCCCTCAGGTGCTCTGTGGTCTTGCCCACCTCTCCAGGCAGGGGCAGCCCCAGAGGACGCAGCCCCTGCCAGGACCAGCTCTCTGTCTTGTGCCTGCTGCGCCCCCTTGGGCAGGCTCACAATCAAACTCAGCGGAGAGGCCCAGGGTTTGCTCCCTTGTTGCCAGGGAGGACGCTTCTCAGATCAGCTCTGGGAACTGAATCCTCCGCTCCCCTGGGAGCTGCCTTCTCCCCCACACGCCCTGGTGGTCACTCCGTTTGGGGGTTCCTACCGCCACAGCCGAGAGCACATGGTCCACTGCAACAGCCTGACATGTGCACGCCCCACAAAGCAAGGCCGTGACCCTCCCGCCCACCACGTGGCTGCTGAACAGGAAATCACTGCGGGGCCAACTTGCCACCTCCTGGTCCCAGGCTGGGCTGGGTTCACAGCTGTCTGCCATCTCTGGGGGAGCAGGAGATGTGGGGAGGGGTCTGGCTGCCTGTGAACCCCTCCTCTGCTCCTCGCAGCACCGCCTGATCTAGAGCCCAGAGGGGGGACGGGAGGAGGGACAGGGAGACCACGGAGGCAGCGGGAGCTGAGAAATCCCTCCCCATCCCAGCAGGTGGAGGGCACTGAGGTAGCACGAGGCCGGGGCCCAGGGGCCGAGGGGCAGTTGCTGGTATTTCTGAGGTCTAGGAGGGGACAAGGTCCCCGACTCCAAGCCAAAGCAAGGGAAGTGGGTACACAGGAGACAAGCACACGTCACCACCACGTGTAGATGAACTCCCTGGAGCAATGGCCTCCACCCCGGTCTGCAGCAGACAATAGAGCTATTTGTTTTCATAAAGCTAAGGATACTGCATTTAAAGCATAGTCCTCGAACACCGGACTGTCCCTGTTGAAGGTTGAATTTTGTCTGCACCCGCCCCCTCCCCACATAAGGATATGCTGAAGTCTTCACCCCTCGCACCACAGAGGTGACCTCGTCTAGAAACAGTCATCGCAGATGTGATTAGTTAAGATGGGGTCACACTGGAGTGGGGAAGGCCCTTCCTCCAACGTGAGTGTGTCCTTATAGAGAGGGGGACACACAGCGGCAGAGACAGAGCGCCGCTGTCCCGGCCAGGCCACCAGGAGCTGGACGAGGCAGGAAGGCCCTCCCTTCCTGCAGAGGGAGGGCAGCCCTCTGAATGATTGCTGGTTGTGATGCTGACCAAGGGGCCACTCACGTCCTCTCCTGTTTCCACTCAAAATGCCCTCTCTTAGGGAACCACAGTGATGTGGAGGGCAGCTGATTTTCCAAGGACTTACTTCGTAAGATACAGTAGATGGGACCCCATTTTGAAAGACTGGTTGGCACGCAAACATCCAGGGCACACCCAGCAAGAGGAGCAAATGAGGGACCGCCGGTCTGAGGGCTGGACAGAGAATGGGACAGGGCTGAGGTGTGGGCCTTGCTCCAGGGCCGCCGACGAAACCCCCAGAATCGGGTTCGGTGACCAGGTCCGGGGCTTTGTATGATTTGTACGATCAGACTCCGCCCTTTTGGCCCCCAGGTCCTAGCACAGCACCCGGCCCATAGCAGGTGGTAACTAATAAGAATGTGTTGAATGAACTGGATGATTCAAAGGCTAATGACACAGGGTGGACAGAGGGGATGAAGGTGAGGCCTGAGAACAAAAGGAAGCAATTTTCACCATGAACACAGGAGCGAGAAAAAAGAAAGTAGCCCCCATTGCGGGGCACCGTTTTCTCTCATTTCATTTTTATCCTCACCTGAGGACATTTTTGCATTTATCTTCAGATAAAGCGGGAGGGAGAGAGGGGGAAAGAAAGAGAAACATAGATGTGAGAGAGACTTATCAACTGGTTGCCACCCACATGACCCCAATTGGGGCCGGGGACAAACTGCAACCGAGGTACATGCCCTTAGTGGGAACCGAACCCGGGACTCTCTGGTCCACAGGCCGATGCTCTAACCTCTGAGCCAAACTGGCCAGGGCTCTCTCTCATTTCCAACCAGGTGTTTATTTACCTGCCACATCTGTATCCAGGAGTGCAGATATGGGGAGAAGTCCCAGGCAAGAAACTAGCCCTGCTGCTCATCTTAAGGCTCCCGCAGGGGCAGCTCACCGGGGGCTCCAGTCTCTGCTGAATTAAGCTGCCTGCAGCCCTCCCAGGAGGCCCCTCCCATGGCTACAGTGCAGGAGGGGGAGCCACAGCCACCGAGCAGACACAGGTGTTGGCAGCTTGACGCCCACCGGCACACTGCACCTGTGCCTTCCACGGGCCTCCACGTCTTACACTGATTCCACCTGTTCGTCCACACGGGGGCATTATCCTCCACACGGCACGTTAGAGAGAAGAACAGCGGTTGTGAGACAGCATCTCTGGGAATAAGGACAGCGTTTAGAAAACGAATCAATGAGAAAGTAAGCAGATGGTTCTGGTCCACGGGCGCCGGAAGCACCAGCTGCTAAGCACATGGTTCCACAGCACCAGGTGCTGAGACTGCTCCAGGGCGAAGCTGCAGGTAGCTGTTTCTTCTCTCCTTCTGTTACAGAGGTACCGACTGCTTCTGTTTTTTAATCCTCACCTGAGCACATTTTTCCATTGATTTTCAGATACAGTGGGAAGGAGTAGGAGGAGGGAGTGAGGGAGAGTAACATTGATGTGAGAGAGACACATCAATTGGTTGCCTCCTGCACGACCCAAACCAGGGCCGGGGACAAACTGCAACCGAGATACGTGTCCTTAGCGGGAACCGAACCCGGGTTTCTCTGGACCGCAGGCTGACGCTCTAACCGCTGAGCCAAACCGGCCAGGGCCTGACTTCTGTCTTAAGGTTTCTAAATTCTACTGGTCCGTCCACCGCCAGCTGCTCTCTGTATAACTGCCGCCCGGCACAATCCTGCTCCTTCGAGCTGGAAGGGCCTCAGGTCAGCGCTGGTTTCCCAGCCTGAGAAGGAGGCAGAAAGATGCCCCGTGAACGCAGAGGCCACGGCGCAGCCAGAGCCGGAGGACTCGCTCTGCTCCCCAGTAAGGAGCCTGCCGGTCAGACACGGCCTCCAATACCCCAGAGGCAACACGCCTGCAGGGGCAGCACCCCCTCCGAACCACCGGGGCCAGGACGGCCTGGGCACTGACCTGCTCTGTCTCCACGAAGTTGGACACGTGGCCATCGTCATTCACGCCGCGGGTGTGGAATCGCGCACCCGCCCGCGCGCAGCTGATGCGTGAGATGAGGCAGGCCTTGGCCTGCTTGTGCGAGGCGTACACCGTGCGGATGGCCACCACCCCGCAGATGACCTTCAGCAGCCAGTCACAGCAGCTCACCTGGTGCTGCCTCAGGGGCAGGTGCAGCAGGTGGTTCCTGAAAAACAGCCCACAGCGCGCGGGTCACCTCGCGGCCTCCGGCGGCCTCCGCCCGGTGTTCCCCGAGCACGAGGGAACTCAAGGGCTCCCCGGTAACTGCACTCGGGACACGCGGCCCAGGACGTCTGTGAGCTTCTGAGGGCACCAAGCAGGGCCACTGGGACATGTGCGGCAGGAAAGGACAGGGCTCTCCTGAAGCCACTGCTGGCGACCGTGGCGAGGGAAGCCACGCGTGGCTGGTGAGCCACCATGAGCCTCCCTGTGAATTTCAGAGCAGCCTGATTAGACCTGTGGTCTCCACTGAAATCCCATCAGTAAAACTTGAATCGTGTTTTGTGATTAAGTAATTAAACCATATTAAATACACGCATGCTTATTTACAAAGCAATCCCAAATAAATAGAAGAAAAGGAGGTGGAAATAAAACGTAATGGCGGTTCCAGTACTTCCGTACCTGGTGGACTGCTCTGGGCCTCTGGGGGACCCTGGTGTGCTGGGGTGCAACATTTATCGAGTGCACTGAGCAGCATTCTAAGTGCTTCAGGGTGGATTAACTCACTGTGTCCTCCAAACGACACTATGGGACAGGTGTTATCACTCACCCCATTATACAGGTAAACTGAGGCACAGGGACACGAAGGACCCACTTGCCCAAGGACAGGCAGCGGCAGCATGGCTGGGAGCCTGTGCTCTCGGCCCTGGCCCCCCCCCCCCGGCCCCGGCCCCCCGCCCCCGGCCCCCCCCCCCCGGCCCCCGGCCCCCGGCCCCCGGCCCCCCTGCCGGAGGCCCCACCTCTATAGCTGCAGCTGCCTGACCACATCCTCCTGTCCTCGTGCTGGGTGGTTGAGCGGATCTAGATCACTTGCTCTGTTTGTTCAACAAGGCCCCGCCGGCCCTGCCCTTGAGCCTTCCCAAAGGGAGCAGCACTTCTCATTCCTGGAGAAGTGCGCAGAGAGCCCTGATGTCTCAGGCGGCTCCTCCGAGCAGCTGGGACCCCAGCTTAGGCCAGCCTCCCTGACTGTGAGCTGGGCCACCTGCACCTGGGCACCGCGAGCCCCTGGGGGGTGGAGCGGCCACGTGGGACGCCGGTCCGCCCCACGAGCTCTCAGAACCACGGTGCCTGCTGCCTGAAAAGTGATGCTCAGGGAGACTTTACAAAGCTCACCTCCCTCTTCTGCACCTCTCTCTATAGTCCAGGTGATGAACCGTGGACATATGAAGCCCACACCGACTCCAGATCTTCCAGAGTCTCCCAGACGCAGCTGTGCCCAGAGTCACCGGTGCCAGGAGCAGACTTGCCAAGGGGACAACTTTGAATGAAGCCTGTAGTCACACTGGCCTGACCCTCTGTGGGAGGATGGTCACTACCCCCAAGGAGGAGGAGCCAGAAAGGAGAACAGCTTTGCACCCCCCGCCCCAGGCTTTGCTTGTGCTCGGAAGCAGTCGACAGGGTGATAACCAGCCCAGAAAAATGACTTCACCCCGAGATAAACTCTCCCTTACTCCCCAGCCACATTCAGCACTGGCCCCATCTGACTCCAGATACGGGTGCAGACACGACATCCCAAATGGTGGGTTAGGACATCGAGCCTCTGACCACTCAGCCAGAGCCGAGTCAGTTGTGGTCAGTCCCGTGGCACCACCCTGAGCCCAACCACCACACCCTGGTGACGGCCCAGCAGCCTGGCACCCTCCGGAAGCGCTGCCTCCTCTCAACTGAAGTCCAAGTCTGGTGTCCACGGGGGTCTCCCCTTCCCGAGCCCCTCTGAGCCCCCACTGGGTGGACCTGCGTTGTCTTCCTGTTTCGTGCGCCTCGAATCTCTAGCCACCGCGCTGCGGGGGGTGGGGGGGCGGGGGCGAGGAGAGCTGCTGCACAGGGGGTGGCATCCAGGGTCCTGACATCCCTCTGGTCCCACAAAGTTCCCAAGGAATGTCACAGGCTCAGAGACTTCTCGCCTCTGCACCCCGACGGTCCAGGTTGGAAATGGCTCCACGGCCTGGGCACAAAGACCCGCCGTCCATATCTCAGCGGCTGCGGCCGCATGCACCAGCTGGTCCCTGCCTGGTGAGCCACAGAAACACGCCCCTGGACCAGCAGCAGGTGCCACCATCACCGCCTTGCTGGGCAGGCCGCGTCTTGGGCCCTTCTGGACCCGCGGGTCAGAGGTGCCTCGGAACAGATCGCGGGAGAGGCCTGTGTGTTTACGGGGTGAGCACAGGACTGCCCCAAAGCGCAAAGTCAGAGGACCCGAGAGGAATGGGGGCGGGGAGGGCCGGGGCGCAGGAAAGGCTGACGAAGCCCCCTTTCTCCAAGCAGAAGCCAGGAGTTCCCTTGGCGGGGGGCGGGGAGGGGCCGAGCACCAAGGAGAGAACATTTATGCGGTGAGGGGACCTCTGACTTCCTGTTTGGGCGAAGGGAGGAACACACACTAAGGGCATAAATGAGCCTCCCCAACCCTGTCTAGGGCTGGGAAACGGGGGTAGCCCCAAAGGCAAACACGGGAATTCTAAGAACATCCCAGTATATGAATTGGAACATCTACAGTAGGATTTCATTTTTACTTCTGACTCCTTTCCACACGTCCTGGTACATCGGAGGGGAACAGACCCTGGCACCCCAGACCTGAGCACCGCGTAGGTGCATCAGTGACCCCCATCACAGGACTCATCAGGGTCATTACCCCCAGCACCCAGAAAGGGCCAGAGACCATTTACATGTCCATAGGGTCAACCACACCTCGCCAGGCAGGAACACCCAGATGACCCTACAATCAGAGACCCAGCCAGCTTGGTCTGGGTTCGGGACATGTCTCACCACGGGACTACATCACGTGGGCAGGACGGCTCAGTCTCCCCATTGTTGGGGCTGGTTTGGGATCTGGAACCAGAATGCCTGGGTTCGGATTTCCTCACTTGTTCAAGCCTCAATCCCCTCATCTGTAAAATGGGGATAACCTGCCCCACCTCATAGACTCCTACGAGGAAAGTGAGACCACCACCCAAGGAGAACCTAGAACACGCCTGGAGCGTGAGCGGTCTGTCCGCGGGGCTCACCCGGGCCTGCTGGGAAGGCAGCCAAAGAGCTGAGCACAGGCCCAGACGCAGGGGCAGGAGGGTGGCTTTGATGCTCTTCACTTACAGCCCCTCTCTTCTTTCCTGTGTCTACCACTCTGAACACCTTCCCTGGCCCCAGGCGTGGGGACCATGGGGTCTGTCGTCCTCTCACTGTGTGGAGAGCGAGTGGCATGGACCCCAGCTCTCAGAGGTGACCCAGGACCCCGGGACGACGCACAGACGAGATCAAGGACACAGGTGCCGCCGGAGCCTGCGCCCCGTGACCGGGGAGCGTCCGGGGCCCAGGGCCTCACCAGAAGAAGGCGTTCCCCCACTCGTGGCTGTCATCGCCCTGCTTCTGCGCCCGGACGGTGAGGTCGAAGCGCGACCCGTCGCTGGGCCAGGAGAAGTAGAAGGCGCCCGAGCTGAGGGCCTTCCTGAGGGCTGCGAGCCGGGCCTCCTCCCCGGGGTCTTCCTGCAGCGGGTGGAAGTCGGTGGCGGTGATCTTGTAGATTTCAGCGTCTGGGATTCTGCCCACAGATGTGCAGCCTGTCACCAAAACCAGGAAGCTCAGGGACGTGTTACCTGGAGGGGAAATTGGACGGGCGGCTTAGGACCATGGTGGGCAGCTCACATCACCAGGGGCCCACACAGCCCAGGTTCGCGGCAGCCACGTGACTTCCTGTCCGCGAGTCCCCGGGTCCCGTGGCTCCTCCAATCCCTCAACGCAGCATCTCAGGACCCGCCCTGCCACGTGGGCCCGCAGCCGAGCCAGGGCTCTGCGCCTGACCCTGGGCCGCAGCGGAGCCTCCCGGGAGCCTGCTAGAAATGCAACCTGCAGGCCTGGCCAGACCTGCTGCCCACCAGGGCTGAGGGTTGCTGGCCTGGACACTTCCCCGCCCCAAACCCTCTCTCCCTCTCTGTCCCCCACGAATCCTCAGCTACGGCCCCCCAGCCAGTCCGTCCTCCCCGCTCCACCCCTGGAGCGGCCTCCCGCCCCAGCCAGTCCGACCTCCCTCCTCCACCTGAATCCTTCCATGGCTCCACTTCCCCTGGAACTGAAATGGAAACTCCTCCCACCCTCGTCCCCGCCCCTACCCGCCTATGGACACCAGGGTCCAGCAGCTGTCGTGGGTGGTGCTCTGTAGCTCCTCAAATGTGCCCTGTGCCCTCCCACCCCTGGGCCTTCGCCCAAGACGCTCCTCTGCCCCGGATGCCCCACCACACTGTTTGCCCAACAGGGCCTCCCACGACCCCCACTACCCCTCCGCTTCCCCGGCTCCACCTCTGGAACAGCACCAGCCTTCCCACGGGCTCGTCAGGACCATCCTACCTGCCTCCCCTCCTCCCACCTTAACCAGGAGGTCACCTCTCCACCCTTTCGGGTCATCTAAGCAGCACCTCCTCCAGGGAGCCTTCCCTGCTCTCCCGAGACACGGTTAGCTGCCCCTCTACATGCCAGCAGCATCCTGTTGGCCCTTGTCTCAGGCAGAGCTGACACCCTCCTTCCCCACCAGCGTCGCCAGCAGACGGGCTCCTGAGGGGCAGCACTGTGAGGAGACGGTGCGCCCCAGAATCACCTGCGTGTGGCTAATGCTTGATTAGTCTCCCAAACAAGCCAGCCTGAGAGCAGTTCAAACCTCCTGCCCCCAGGAAGGTTCCCAAACACCGCTGACCCCTCGCTGGGAGGACACAGCCCTCCAGGGCCCCCAGACACTGTCCCTGGCTGTCTGCTGCCCTGCACCCCTCCCCCAGCCCCACACAGCAGGCCGGGCACACAGGTGCTGTGTGAGTCAGGTGCCCGCGATGCTCAGGGCGCTGGGGACAGTGTCCGCTCTCCTCAGCTGGGTGGCTGGTTACCCATCAGGGGCTGACATGGGTCTGGCCCAATGGACACTCCTCCCACTTTCTAGCAAGTTCTACTCCAAATGGTCAGGGGTCATCACTGCAGTGATGGCGATCAACAGCCTAGATCTCTGGACACTGAAAAAAACCCTAAGACGGCCAAGTCCTCCTCACACTTCACAGGAGGAGGGCTGCCCGGGGTCAGGTGATGCCTGTTTTTGTTTTCTTTTTTTAAATATATTTTTATTGATTTTAGAGAGAGAGGAAGGGAGAGGGAGCAAGAGACAGAAACATTGATGAGAGAGAAATTAGCCGCCTCCTGCATGCTCCCCCACTGGGGATCGAGCCCAGAACCTGGGCATGTGCCCTGACCGGGAATCGAACCAGTGACCTATAGATGCACGGGATGACGCTCAACCACTGAGCCACACCAGCCGGGCAGGTCTGGGTTTTATTAAAGATCCCTCCATGTGATAAGTAGGTCACCTCTCATACCAGGCCTACAGCTGGGGGAGGGGGCGTCCAGCAGGGTGACCACTATGGCTCAGATCCCACCTCACCAGTCAGGTTAGCAGGAAACCATGTTAAAACAACACAAGGTTTGGCTCAGCGGTTAGAGCATCGGCCTGCGGTCCAGAGAGACCCGGGTTCGGTTCCCGCTAAGGGCACATATCTTGGTTGCAGTTTGTCCCCGGCCCTGGTTGGTTGTGCGAGTGGCAGCCACTCGATGTGTCCCTTTCATGTCAATGTTTCTCTCTCTCTCTCTCTTCCTCTCTCTCTCCCTCCCACTCTATCTGAACAAAAAATGGAAAAATGTCCTTGGGTGAGGATAAAAAAACAACACCACAAGAAGGAGGCAATAGTGCTGTGAATGGTGACCGGGACCAGGGGCTGAGTTTCCTGAGAAGAACGGGCGTCATTTCTGGGGCACAGGTGGGTTTGTGCGCCTCTATTCCCACCGCCTGTGCCAAAACCAGTGCCCAGGTGTCCCGTCCGCCTGCTCAGATGGGTGCAGTGCGGGGAGGGCACAGTTCAGCAGCGGACCCTGGAGCCGGAGGACAGCCCTGTGCCCAAGACCAGACTGGAGGGCGCGGGTTCCGGAGGGGCACGGACCAGTCTCCACCTCTCCCCGGTCCTCACAGCCGCTGCGAGGGGGCTGAGCTGGCAGGAGCCCCAGGTCGCTGCGAGGCAGTGGCAGGTGTGGCCGGGAGGCTGGGTGGGCATGCTGCAGAAGGCATGGGGAGGCTCTTCAGATGGATGCGAACACAGGACAGTGCCGCCGCACTGAGCCGGGCTGATCCCGGGACCAGGGCTCAGAGGGTGATGGAGAGCCGCGTGGGGGGCCTGGAGCCAGGCATTTCGATGTCTGCTGCTTCTCAGGGTGGGCTCACCCCGTGCAGGCGCCGTCCACAATCCCGGGAGGTGCCATGTTTGCCCCATTTTACAGAAAGGGAGAAACAGGCACAGAGAGGTTTTGAAGGGAAGGGTCCTGGTTCGACCCAGCACCGGGCTGCTGGGGGTCACTGCACCCCCGGCCCACCTGTCAGGGTGGTGTTGGCCTGGGTCCCCACCGAGGAGGTGTCTCTAGGGGACGGAAGTGAGGCCAGTGGGACAAGCCCTCTGGGCCGCCATGAGCACAGGGTCACTTTCTCACCGCCAAGACCCTATCAACTTAGACATTCTTTCCCTCCGGAGGGCTGCCTTCAACCCCCTCCCAAGCAGAGCTGCCCACGCCCCGGGCCAGCAGCGGCAGGGTCCGGTCTCTCTAGCTGTGGCCACCTGTCATCTGGCAGGGGAGGGCTGGCACTCGGGTCACCATGAGTCACGGCAGACACAATGCCATTCATTCGGGGACAAGGCTGGGCGTGTTCTGTCAGCCCCCCCTCCCCCCGCCCAGTGCTGGCATCTCTGCTGGGCTCTGAGCTCTCTCCCCAGCGAGGCTCCTGCCAACCTCAACCCTGGGCGGCCTGTGGACTGTCCGATCCACCTCTCTGCTCCTACAGGGCACTCCCTCACTTAGATCTGTGAACCAAGGACACAGGAACTCTGGGCTGTCCCGCTGGGAAGCAAGGAGCCTTGGCCAGAGGATCCCTGAGCCCCCTCCCGGCCCCGTGCCAACAAGCTCGGAATCCCATGGCCTTCGCAGCCACACGGCCCGGCTCAGAGGCTCCGCCACCCGCCCTTTTTAGAAGGCGAATGCGGTGCAGGCCGGGCCCTGCTGGCCGCTGACAGCTCAGGACAGCCGGCGGTGCGGTGTCCCCGCTCCAACTGGGAGCCTGCCGCGGCCAGGGCGCTTCCACACGGAATGCCCCAGAGAGCGGGGCGCCGGCTACTGACCAGCACACCGCTGGGGGCAGGTGTTAAAATGAATTACTCTGGCCCTGGCCGGTTTGGCTCAGCGGTTGGAGCGTCGGCCTGCGGTCCAGAGAGACCCGGGTTCGGTTCCCGCTAAGGGCACGTACCTCGGTTGCAGTTTGTCCCCGGCCCTGGTTGGTCGTGCGGGAGGCAGCCACTCGATGTGTCCCTTCACGTCGATGTTTCTCTCTCTCTCTCTCCCTCTCACTCCCTCCTGCTCCATCTGAACAAAAAATGGAAAAATGTCCTCGGGTGAGGATAAAAAAAAAATGAATTACTCTGAGGCCCGAAGGCCATTCCATGCCACAGCTTGCTCGGGAACAGTGCACACCGCGACACAAGACGGCCAAACTCCCACCCGGACTGTCCCTTCTGACGTGGCAGCCACAGAAGTCAGCCCCCAGTGAGCCTCGCCTGTCAGTCAGGAGTGGTGGCCCCACACCCAGTTCCCCGCGGGGTCCTCTGCGGCCGCCCCCGCCCAGTCCCCAGCTCAGCCTCCCACAGAAGTCTCCTGACGGCAGCTAAGGGGGCGAGGCCGTTCAGTCTTACAGGGAGGAAGACAGCCCTAGGGAGGCGACGTGAGAGCCGCTGGACCGCGAGCCGGGTGGCCCCGGGAAGGGGCTGTGGGTGGCTTCCCGGGCTGTGCCCTGCGGCCCAGGAGACGCGAGCAGGCCTCCAGAGCTCAGGGTAAAGCAGCTACGTCCCCGCAGTCACCAGAAGTTCTTTCTCCTGCTCTACCCTCGCTTTCTGTGCTCCGGATCGTGGTCGTCGGGAAGCCCCGTGCCCCTGCTAATTGTGGGGGCTCTGCCCCTCCTGCTGGGAGGAAGGGGGATTTGGAACTCTGTCTGAAAACCCAGGAACCTGAGATAAGGCTTTTATGCGATTTTTGTGCATGTTTCTGAATTTCTAACATAAAGGCTCTTTTCACTCAGGGAGACAGAAACGGAACATGCCCCGAGCCGAGAGCCGGAGGGGCAGCCTCTCAGGACAGAGACCCTCAGCCTGAGAAAGCCAGGAGGGAGGCCCAGAGACACTGGGGCAACCGGAGCTGAATCATGCTCCGAGCTCCCCAGGACCCTGGACGGAGAGAAGACGGCAAAGCGCACAGATCCAGTCTGGGTGGGGCCGGCAGCGGGAGGGGAACCAGCTTAAAGCCAACTCTTCAACGTCACCAAAGGGGGTTTGGGAAAGTCACTGATAAGGTCCGATCCTTCCATTCTTCAGCTACCCCAGGTCGCTTTCAGAAATGTGTCGGGAAAGGCCAAGTAATCCTGACATTCCAAATGTCAGCCTCCTCCTGCCCTCACTCAGAGACCCTCCCAGCCCCCCTGGAGGGGGACGCAGGCAGCGGGGACATCAGAATGGGGGCTGGCAACCTGATGGCCAGGGCGCGGCCTCCTCAGCTGGTCTGGCCACCAGAGGCTGTGTTCAGGCCCCCTCAGCGGAGGGCCGGCCGGCGGGCACTGGCGGCGGGGAGGGAGGAGGGCCGGCCGGCGGGCACTGGCCGCGGGGAGGGAGGAGGGCCGGCGGGCACTGGCCGCGGGGAGGGAGGAGGGCCGGCGGGCACTGGCCGCGGGGAGGGAGGAGGGCCGGCGGGCACTGGCCGCGGGGAGGGAGGAGGGCCGGCGGGCACTGGCCGCGGGGAGGGAGGAGGGCCAGCGGGCACTGGCCGCGGGGAGGGAGGAGGGCCGGCTGGCACTGGCCGCGGGGAGGGAGGAGGGCCGGCCGGCGGGCACTGGCCGCGGGGAGGGAGGAGGGCCAGCGGGCACTGGCCACGAGAGGGCAGCTCCCGGAGTCGGTTCACCTGTCTCTACCTCTCTGCCCGGGTGCTGCCGCTGAGGCCTGCCCTGGCCCCTGGGCTGGGTACCCTGCAGACACCCTAGCTCACTCTGACAATATTTTCTGGGGGCTCTCACCCTTCCTGGTTGGGGCCCTTTGCCTATAGCTGACCTCCGATCACAGCCCTGGGATGGGGGAAGTGCTGCTCTCCTGTCCGTGGAAGCTCTGCCCTCTGGGGACAGCGCAGCCTGCGGGGAGAGCGGCCCCTGGTGCCGGGAGGCACGGAGCCCGAGTCAGCTTGCGAACAGCCCGGCCGTGGGCAGGTTATGGCCCTGCACGGGACCCGGGACCCTCCGGGGCCAAACGGATCATTTAATGAAGCACGGGAAATACGGTGCCAGTCCCAACTGTAAGATGTCAACCACTGGAACACTCCCTGAGCGCCCGGAGGTCACGAGGTAAGAGTGTCACAGACAAATGACACCTGGCAGCTAAGCTGTCCACACGTGTCTCCCTGAGTCTGTGAAGCAGGGCAGCGGCAGCACCCACCTCAGGCTGCTGGGGGTGCAGCTGAGCAGCCGGCGACAACAGTCCAGCAGTGCCTGGCCCAGGGCCAGCCCCTGCAAGGCCACCTGCCACCTCACGTCGGCACAATTAAGGCCACAGGAATTTTTCGTAATCGCAAAAGGATCACTGGGGTGGGGGTGGGGGGAGATCCTATAGAAAACCCTGGCAGGCAGCACATTTTCATGGAAAGAGGGAGCATTTAGAAGCAGCAGCGAGGTCTGGGTTTGGATCCCAGCTGAGTGTCTTCAGCAAGTTACTTGACCCCCCTGAGCATGTTCCCTTCACTGTAAAATGGGGGTGAAGATGCAGGATCATGCTGTTTATCTGCAGGATTAAGTAACATAACGTATATCTAGTCCTTGGCACAACATGGACATTTAGTAAGTGCACTTTGTCGTGGGGGTACTGAGTGCTTTTCCTAAGCACTGTTCAGAAACTACCAATGCCATCAGCATAGATCAGGGGAAAACAATCATCCCAGAAAAGACCCAGAAAAGTGAGGGCAGGCACCGGTGCTGCCCTGGGGGCTCTAACCGAGCTCCGTGCAGGAAGCCAGCGGCGGAGGGCGGTGCGGAGGTGGAGCTCGGCTTGGGAAAGCCATCGTGCCTGAATTCGGCCAACTCTCAGCCATTCCCATTTCGACCCAGCGGGACCAAGAATCAGGATCGCCACTTGCGCTCTGGTCTCGGCCCCACCACTCACTGATGACACGGTGAGGCCAACGTGCGCTAGCTGGCGGAGGTGGAGGGAAGGACGTGGTGGCACCAGGGTTCCCACGAGGGCCCGGACAGCAGAGGTGGCTGGGTGGCCCCAGGGGGGATGCTGTGACCCCAGGGCAGCCTGGACAACCACTTGGCCTCTGTCTCATCCTGAGCGAGGATGCCCACCTTTCAGGTCAGGTGGAGTGGCCCGTTTCGTGGTGCACTTTCCTTTCCCCAGCTCCCCTCCTCCCCCACCCCGGGCCTGCTGCTCAGGGCCTGGCGGCTTGTCTCTCCTGGCCAACAATGCCCAGACCAGCCTGTCCCGCCCATCCAGGGGGCTCGGGACCTCTGGCATCCACCCCTTCTAAAGTCAGAGTACAGGGCCCTTATAAATGACGACAAACAACCCCCTGGGCAGATCCCTCCCTGCCCCCCCTCCACACACACAATGATGCTCAGATCCCGATGGGCAAACAACAAAGGTGAGCTTTCTCTGCACCCAAGGCCAGAAGCTGCACAGACGGGGAGAACCTGGCTGCACTCACCTTGACCTTCCGGCATGGAGGAGCAGGCTCAGCAAAGCAAACACTGGAAAGATCCTAACAGTTAAAATACAAGCCTACATCCGGCAGTCTTTCCGAACTCACAGGAGACCGGCTCTGCCCAGCAGGCAGGCGTTCTGACAGCTGCTGTTCCGTGGGAAGGGACACTCACCAGACTTTAACCTGAGCTCCCCCAAGCAGCCATAGGCGTCGGTGAGCTTCCCATACTGGCCTCTGATGACCTCCTTCTCTTCGGGGGCTAGGGGACAAACACATCGCAGACAGCGTCAGTGCGGTCTCCCATCGGGGCTCACTCACCGCAGCCTTCCAGTGGCTCCCACCCACTCGAAAAAGAAAACGCAGAGACAATAGCTCGGCCCCCAGGAATACGTGTGGAGGTTTCACCAACAGCAAATCACCAGGCAGCCGAGATTTAGACCTCCTCTCGAAAAGCTTGCTTTCTGCAATCGCCCCCAGCTTCCTGTGGGCTGGGGAGGGTGAGGGGCATCCCTGGCTGGCCGAGGCGCCGGGTTTGAGCTGGGAGCAGGTGCCCTGGGCCTGACCCTGTCACTCTGCCCCACGACCCACGTGCCCAGCAACAGGAGTGAGTCATCCTTACCTGCTGGGGGGGCCTTCCTTCCAAATGTGTCCACTGGACGCTTTATTCTGCCCACACCCTCGGGAACTGCTACCCCACAGGGAGGCTGAGCAGAAGGCTGGGTCCCCAGATACCCCGGGCCCAGGTACAGTGAGCCCTAAGGCAAGCTGCATGAGCAGAGGCCCCCACCCCCACCCCTCCACCCCACTGCAGTTATGCCCAGAGCACGTCACAGGCTGGTGTGAAAGCAAAGCTGACCCTTAGGGGCAGGGACCCCGCCCTTTCCGGTGACACCCCAGACACCTGCTATTCCAGGGACAGGCTCTAGACCCCTTGTCAGAGGAAAGTCTCCAAGGGCACAGAACAAACAGAAACACGGTGAACCCTCAACAGGGACCGAGCAACCCCACGAGGGAGACGCCCCAGCCAAGCAGCCACTGGGCCCGAGGCCCTCCCTCGGCCACAGTGCAGGCCCGGCCCGCACCGCGGAGCCTTGTGCTCGTGCTGAGACCAGGTCCAGTTTCCAGCAGACTCTCAGAGGGTTCGTGACTAGGACCCAGTTTAACACACGGCCTTTCTACCCAGTACTCACATGAACGTTTCTGATCCATTCGGGGGCTTACTATTGGGGGGAGGCAGAGGAGGCCACAGTCCCGCCCACCAGGCCCACAGCCTGGCTCAAAAGATCACACGCTCGGGACTCTGCGGGTGAGAAGACTGAGTGGCCTCACTGAGCTCAAGCCAAGGTGTCAGCAGGCCTGTGCGCCTTCCGGAAGCTCTAGGAGAGAATCCTCGTCCCGGCCCGGCTCTGCCAGCTCCGAGGGGTCTGGCTACCTCGGCTCCTGGCCACCCCCCCTCAAGGCCAGCGGCCCGGCCTCTGCCTGCTCCATCCTCACACCTCACACTCTCTCTCCTGCCTCCCTCCCATCTCTCAAGGGCTCTGTGAGACCCCGGACCCACCACCCGCTCAGGAAGTCCTCCCATCTCGAGGTATCACGGCTGCAGAGTCCTCATGCCACGTCCGGCAACATTCACGGAGCTGGGGGTTCGCTGGGGGCCTCCTGCTCCCTCAGGATGGAGGCCCAGGGGCCAGGAATCCCCTCGGTCCTCCCCCTGCTCCCAGCTGAGATGAACAGCGCCTCCTGCACAGGGGCAGTGACAAGGGGCCGCACTGTCCCGTGCCTGTGGGGCCTCCCGGCAGCCGGCCTGCTCCCTGCTGGAGGACAGCCAGGTCCTGTCAGCCCGACCTCCCAGGTGGAGGCGAGTGTCGCTCCTGCGGCCACGTGCACGACCCCCGTGGCGTTTCTGAGCCCACGGGGACTGGCAGAGCCCGGGAGCGGCACACGGGAGCGCCCAGGCCTCTGCTCGGTAGAAAGGGGATAGACGCAGGAGAATGTTCCGACACACACTGTGTACACTTCAAGTCTAGGAGCTTCACAAAGCCTTCGCACCCCCTGGTCCTCCGCCGGTTAGCCGTGAATCGGGGCTCTTCGCACGGCAGACAGGAGAGCGCAGAGCGCGCAGCACAGCGGTGTGGTCAATCCGCCCCCTGGCCCGCCGACCAGGAGGAGTGGAGGCGGGCGGGCCGCTCCCCCGCCGGAGCCCAGGCCCCCGGCGCACATCACACCACCCTGCCATCTCCGACACAGACGTTCAGCCTCGTATTTTAAAACCAAACAAGCCCACCCCGCAGGGCCACCTGGTCCCATCCGGGTCCTGCGAATGACTGACTCCCTAACTCAACATCCTTCTGCCTGTGCCAGCTCTCGGCAAACGTCTACACCAGCGCCCAGGTAAGGGATGAAGGAAGCTGCTGGAAGGGCGCTGGGGGACGGAGGACACGTGCCCGCTCTCGTGGGGCAGCGGTCAGTTCCAGCCAGTGGCCCCCAGGCGGGCATGCCCGCCCAGTGCCAGCAGGTGCCCAGTTTTCCGAGAGAAATAGGACAGTGCTGGTTTTCAGCGTGACAACGGTTATTTTAAGCACTGTGTGGGCACAGCACACACCTCTGCAGACTGTGCTGCCCATTCGCAGCTTCTGTCCCTCCCTGTTGATGTCTCCAGGACAGACTGTCTCGTCTTCCACAGTCTCCTTGCACTTCCTGTAGGTTTTCCCGTGCGGATGCCTTTGCTCTCGCTGCCACTGGCCGTGGACGTCCCGCCTGCTAAGAAGAGTCCTCCCATCTGCTCTCCCGTCCCCCTCCTCACCCACCTCTTGGCCCTGGGATGCCGCCACTCATTTGTGAACGTGCAGCTGAGAGCCCGCTGGGCTGGCACTGTCCTGGCACAGGGGTCCAGCAATGAACCGAACAGACAGGTCCCTGCACACAGTCAGCCGAGGCAGGCACTGAGTGCTGAGCGAGGACAGTGGAGGAGCCCGTGGGTGGGGCCCTGGAGCAGGGCACTGCTAAGGCACAGCCATGAAGGCCCAGTCAGTGCCAGGCCAGCGTCCTGCCAGGGTGGACAGACAAGCACAGTATAGACAGTGATATGAGCGAAGGAGAAAAGGTGAGCAAGGAAGAGGGGTATGAAGTGATTGTGTGTGTGTGTGTGTGTGTGTGTGTGTGAAATTTTACAGAGCAGGTTTGCGAAGGCCTCATTGCAACAGTGACCTCTGAACGCAGACCTGAAGGAAGTGAGACTGAAGGCTGAGTGAAGAGTCGGGAGCACTGTAGGCCCCCAAAGAAAATGTGCAAAGGTCCTGAGGCAGAAGCACTCCTGGCATATTCAAGGACCAGGGAGAAGATGAATGTGTCTGCCAGAGAAATCAAGTGTGTGTGTGGGGGGGCACTTAAACAGCTTTCTAGGTCATAAAAAAACCTTGGGGATTCCCTTGAGTGAGAGGGAGCCCTTGCAGGGTTTTGGGGGCCACTTCGGCTGCTGTGTTGAGAACAGAACCCAGAGGGTAAGGGGAAAAAGCAAGAACAGGTAGGAGGCACGAAAATGATTCAGGAAAGAGATAGCTGGGCCATGGTGATGGCGGTGGAGTTGCTGAGAAACACACACACACACACACACACACACACACACACACACTTTTTTATTATGGAAATTTCCAAAGAAAAACAGAGTAAACCCCATGTCCTCACATACCATGTACCCAGCACTCCAGCACCAGCTCAGGCCCTGTCTTGTTTCAGTCATCCCCCTCCTCACTCACCTACCCCGAGATCAGTGGGCCTCCGGTGTGGCCCTCAGACAACAAGCCCCGCCCAGCCCAGCTGGACCAGAAACCCTGGGCTCGAGACCCAGAACCTGTGTTTGGATGAGTCCCCTCGGTGAGAATCACTGTCCCGGATTATTCTGAGCAAACCCCAGACTCACATCATTTCATCCATAAATATTTCAGTAAGAATCTCTACAAGATAAGGGTTCTTCACACAAATGTAAAACAACGCTATCGTCACCTCTAGAACTTCAGCACCTTTCCTTCCTTCACAAACATCTGTATGTTTGAGAGGAGGCGCAAGGATTGGGGCAGACCGGACGCGGGAACGAGATGGAGATGGCTCCAGGATGACGCCGATGGCTCTCGAGCCTCTGACAGGGTGATGGCTGTCACCTGTGACGGGAAGGCTGACGGGACAGGTCTGGGCGGAGCAGCAGGAGCTCGGGCTGGTGGAGAAGTTGAGGACAGAGCCCATCTGGAGCCCAACAGAGAAGCCCGGCTGACGACACAAACCCGGGCGTCCCCAGCAAACAGAAGGTGGGGAACATCGTGAGCTTGGGGGAGATCACCAGCGGGTGAGGGTGGGGGACAGTGTGTTTAAAGGTCAGGGAGACTGAAGAGACGTGGCCAGAAAGATACAAGGGAACCCAGGAGTGTGTGGCCTCCTGGAAGCCTGCAGAAGGACGTGTGTCAGGGAGGTAGGAGGGGTCAGTGGGGTCAGAGGCTGCTCTGTGTCCTGTGACAAAATGAGCGCTCGTCATTTAGTTAGGCCTTGGTGAGCCACCAAGGCTGGTTCCAGTCAAGTGGAGGGGCAAACCCATAATAAAGAGGGTGAGAGAAAATGGGAGACACTGAGCAGAGACAATCCTTTGAGGAACTCTGTGTGTGCACATGTGTGTGCGCGCATGTGTATGCATGTGTGTCCACGTGTGCGCATATGTGTGTGTGCACCTGTGTGTGTGCGTGCATGTGCGTGCGCGTGTATGCATGTGTGTGTGTCTATGGGTGCGCATGTGTATGTACGTGTGCACATGTGTGCGTGTAAACCTGCGCATGTGTGCACATTCATGTGTATGTGTGTGTGTGCGTGCACGTGTGTGTGCGCACCCATGGGTGCGCATGTGTATGTACGTATGTGTATGCATGTGTGTCCACGTGTGTGCATATGTGTGCATGTGCACCTGTGTGTGCGTGCATGTGCGTGCACGTGTATGCATGTGTGTGTGTCTATGGGTGCGCATGTGTGTGTGTGAACCTGAGCATGCATGTGCACATTCATGTGTATATGTGTATGTGCACGTGTGTGTGTGCCCATGGGTGCGCATGTGTATGTACGTATGTGTGTGCATGTGTGTGCGTGCATGTGTAGGGGACAGAAATGTGGAGGCTGTAGAGAGGACAGAGAGGTAAAGCTTTCTCTGAGACTGGGTTAACAGCCAGTTTGCACACTGCTAGGACCCCAGGGTCAAAGACGGTGCAGCAGGAGAGAGGGGCT